TGACCTGTTCTTTTAAAACTTAAAAAAAAATTAACACAGATTGTACTTCCAACTTTCTTACTATATGCACTAAAACTTTTAATTTTTCAATTACTTAATGTTTACAACAGATCACTGATTTGATATGGAAAGAACTAAATCACTATTATTGGGCATGACAAGGAAGAAACCAGAGTAAGTAAAACTAAACAAAGATTCCACATCTACACTGATGGAATGCTTGCTGGCTTAAAAAAAAAAAAAGAAAGAAAAGAAAAGAAAAATGAGAGTAGGTGAGGGTCAGGGTGGCGATAAAGTGTGGAACCAGAGACCAGGGTTCTAACCCCTGCTCTGCCACATACCAGCATCAGATAATTTAGAAGCGCTAAGCCTTCATTCCCAAATATGCTAAAAACAAAAACAAAAAAAAGGTAGTAATAATGCCTATTTCAGAAGTAGGAGTGGAGTTTAAATGACAGTTGTAAATTGTCTGACTAGCAGAGCCTATCTTCTCAAGAAATGTTAATTTCCTTTCTTTGTCCCCAAAGGCCCAGTATTCTGCCTATATCACTGAACTACATACAAACCACTAGAACATGTTCAACAATCTAGCAAACAGGTTTTGTTCTGTTTCTATGAGCCCTAATGTGGCTAGGTATATTTGATGATCAATTAGCTTTTACTGAACATTAGACAGTCATTTTAAACAGAATTCAAAACTCTGTACACAGAAGCTGCATGGTAAAGAAAACTGTAATAAGGGTTTTTTTTTTTAATTGCTTTTAAAAATAAATTATCTGTAATACTGTCACAGGACACTATGGAACAAAAGAAACAAGGCATCTCATACCACTCAAAATCCTTCAACGGCTTTCCATTTCTTGGGGACAAAATACAATATCCTTACAATGCCCACCCATGCCTATCCCACTCCTTGCCACGACGACCCCCTGTATATACACGTGTATACACACACACACTGCTCCAGCCACACTGGTCTCACTGTTCCTCAAGATTTCTCTCTACCATATTTCTGCATTGCTTATTCCCTCATCTCTTAGTGGGTTCTAAATGATCAGTGGTAACATTTAGCAACCCTCCTTCCACCAATGCCCTAGCACTCCCAATCCCCCTCCCTAACACTGCTTTCTTCCACAGCACTTAACACCTTCTAACATAGTAAAGGAGAAAATTATATACTATCTTTATTATTTATGTCTCCCTACTAAAAGGTAACCCTCACCAGAGTGAGGAGTGTTGTCTCTTCTGAGATATATACATCCCTTCAGTGCCCAACACTGTGTCTGGCACATAGCAGATGTTTAACAATCATTGAAAAGAATTGATATGCTCCTTTAATTGTAGATATGCAAAGAATGTGCAACAAGTTATGAAAAGACAACCTTGAACGAACCTACATCCATTTGAATTTACAAATTCTAGTATTTGTTGACAACCTAATCTTAAATTTTAAAGTTCATATATTTTTAAAGCCACTAAAAACACAGGCATTAATATCATTAATCACCCCTTAATATGAATTTTGTAACTAACACATTCATTAATAACAAGACGCTTCTTCTGCTTAAGTGGCTGATATGATTTAATTTCAAATGCAATTTTCTGGATTTCATATGAGCTAACAGATTTATATGTACCACAAATACTGGGGTTTCATGGTAGACCAGGAGAAAATAGTTTCAGTTCTGCAACCAACAAGCTTGCAGACTTGAACTCAAAACCTCCTTGATCTCCAACTTATTCTTACGTAAAAATGGGGAGGAGTAAATTAGATGATCTCTGAGTCTATTTCAGGTCTAAAAATTCTATGATATTATGAGTCTAGAAAACGGTTAGGATCGTAAAATGTCTATGCTGGATGAAACTTTAGAAATCATCAAATCCAATCCTGTCATCTTATAAATAAAACAACCCAAACGTTTTGAACACTTAAAAAATATCTTCTAGACCAGGCACAGTGGCTCACATCTGCAATTCTGGCAGTTTGGGAGGCCGAGGCAGGTGGATTACCTGAGGTCAGGAGTTCAAGGCCAGCCTAGTCAAATCAACATGGTGAAATCTTGTCTCTACTAAAAATACAAAAATTAGCAGGACATGTTGGCAGGTGCCTGTAATCCCAGCTATTCGGAAGGCTGAGGCTGGAGAATCGCTTGAACCCAGGAGGCGGAGGTTTCTGTGAGCCGAGATCAGGCCACTATACTCCAGCCTGGGCGACAGAGCAAAAGCTCCGTTTCAAACACACACACACACACACACACACACACACAAACACACACACACACGTTCCAACGTAACAGAATATTATCTAGTTTTGGAGTCATTTTTAGTCTGGGGGTGGAGGGAGTAGGTTAACAGAACAACTTTTTCACTTACACAAAATATTTCAACTATCCCATCATTTAAGTTTGCTCTAGAACTGACAATAACATGTGCTGTGAAAATGGACTGCAGCTACAGACACCAAAAAATTCACAGCCCCAAAACTGTATAAAGAAACAATTATATGTAAGATAAGCTGATAATCAAACAATTTCTTAGCTATACAATTCTTACTGCCTAACTTCCATTAGTAAGGGTGGAGTGGAGCAGTAGTGGAGGGCATTAGTAAGGGTGGAGGGCTCACAGCAGCCGCAACCTCCCAACTCAAGTGATCTCCCCCCTCAGCTTCTGGAGTTGCTGCAACCATACTAGCTGGCCTAGCACTAGTATGCTTGGCTTTTTTTTTTTTTCCTAGAGTTGGGGTCTCACTATATTGCCCAGGCTGGTCTCAAACTCCTGGGCTGTCAAGCAACCCTCCTGCTTCGGTGACCCAAAGTTCTGGGATTTCAAGTGTGAGCCACCATGCTCAGCCCCCATTGTGGGTTTCTAAACTAACCAGAGAATATGACGACAACTCTCATGACAGAAACGGAGTCCAGCCACAGGATGTGTTTTAAATTAGTATCTTGTCACCACTGGTAGAATTACATGACTTATGGCTAAGTTTCAAAACTAGCTAATTTTAATATTAACCAAAAGGATAGAAGCTTACAAGCTGAACTCTCCTAGGAACCGCTTGAATCCTGAATACCTGAATAGGTGATGAGCATTTCCAGGACCCGGGATTCTAAGGGATGATGTGGACCTGGAGACCATCCTGAAGAGCCCATATTTCAATGATCTGGCTGAGTGTTTCCCAGGAAATTAATGTCATTACTTCGAGCTGTCTATACTCATCTAAATGCTTAGAGTCTGGAAACTTCAGGAGTAATGCCTATGACCAACGAAATACTTAAGAAACTAGAAACTGTTTAGACTGCCTGGTGAATCTTTGAACACAGTAAAACTAATCCATACATTAACCTGCACTTTACAGGAAAGTTTTCTTACAAATTCAAACCGTCAATTCCTACACAACTTGCCACAGAACATCAATGTTGAGTATGTGGCAGAGTACACCACATATCCATACATGACACCAAAATACTGCCAAGCTGAAGGCTGGGACTAGAAGTGTCATTCAGCAAAAATAAGACCAGCTAAAAACAAAGACACCAGAACATTCCCTTAACACAGGCACGCACACACACCCTCCTGAAAGAGGCCTTTATGTTCCCCACGAGCAAAAGGGCAATATCATTTTTACTATTCATACAGTAACCTGCATGGAATTCCACTCACGCTCAGACTGTACAAGGGCAAACGGCGCTTCTGAAACACGAAGAGCGTCCAGCAGAGTCAGGTACTTAATTACCAAAGTAAACAACTCGACCACAAGGGTCTGCGAACCTGGAGGACTTTTTTTTTCCCAAACAAAAAAGGAGAGTAACTTGACAAACTGTTTTTTTTCCCCTAAATCACAAATGGCCCTTAACTACTATAATAAAGCAATTACCCCTCCCACCCCCAAGCAAATAAACTAGGTGCTGGAAAGGTGGCTGGCTAGTCTGTGTTCCCTAATTTTCCGAAACGAGAACAGGTTGCACTTCCGTACCCCCTCCCCCAGCTCAGCGGTCTCCCATGTTTCAGGAGAGGGGTAAATATAACCTCCACCAACTGGTCTGGAAACTCTCCTTCTCCTTTTCAAAGCACGGGACGCTCGGAGAGGTGATGGAGAAAGGGACCGGGCTAGTACCCCGCCCCAAGCACAACTGCCCGGGAGACTTGCGGGGTGTCGGAGCCGGGAGCGGAGGAGGGAGAGGCGCGCCGGCAAAGTCTTTCCTCCTCCCGGGCCGGGCGGGGAGCGAAGCCCCGGCTTCGGGGCGGGGGGAAGGCGGCTCACCCGGAACCCCAGACCCCCGTCCCCCGCCAGACACAATGGAGCCGGCGGACGGGCCGGGGCCGGGCCGTTGCCCCCTCCCCACCCCCCGCCCCAACGCCTCCCCCACCCTCGCCCGGCCCCGGCCCGGGGGCCCCGGGGCCGCTGCCCGCGCCCCAAACTCCCCGGGGCTCCCGACTAGGCCCGGCGCCGCTCCGCCTCCTCGGCTCTCGCGTAGCGGCGGCGCCCGGGCGGGAAGGGGCGAGGGAGGAAGGGAGAGGCCGGCAGGGGAGCCCCCGCCCGGGAGCCGGACTGAGGCCGCGGGCCCGGGCTCGGGGCGGCGGGGGCGCCGCGGGCCGGGGGCGGCCGGGCGGGGGTGCGCGGCGGCGGCGCGGCGGTCCCGGGCGGCGGCGGGCGGGCGGCCGCGGTGCCTCACCATGTTGGTGTCCTCCAGGCCTCTCCCCTCCTCCTCCGGCTCCGCAGCGAATGGACGGCGGCGGCGGCGGCGGCTCCTCTCACGGGCTCGCCGGGCTCCCGCTCATGCGCAGTGCGGGGCGGCCCGGCGCGGCCCGAGGAGGCAGCCCCGGGCCCGGGAGGCGGAGGGACGCGGCGCGCGGAGGGCGCTGGCGCGGGGATTCCCCGGGCGCGGGGGTCCCCAGGTCGGGGGCGGGGGGCGCGGCGGAGGGCGGAGATGCAAGAGCTCGCGCGCCACCATCGTCCCGCCGCGCCGGGCGGCCTCTGCTGGGGCGCCGGGGACACCCACCTCCGCTTCCCCTCGCGGTTCCTTCCGAACTGCCGCGGCCGGCGCTGCGAGCGGGGACAAGCCCAGGAGCGGAGCGGCGGGGGCCAGGGTCGGGGCCGGTGGAGGAGCCGCGTCCATCGCGGAACGCCCATCAGCACCGCAGAGAGCAGGCGGTGGGAACCCTCAGCCCCGCTGTGAGACCTACACGGGGAGACCTCCGCCCGGCCGTGCGTGGCTCCACTCCCTCGGCAGGCCCGGGCTCTCCCCACACCTGTGTGTACAGGGAGGCGGCGGGCCACCCCGCAGCGGAGCCGCGTTGCCTGCCCACTGCTGGCTCTCAGTATCGTCACCCCCTCAGTGCGGCCTCCCCAGGGTCAGTTTCGGGAAGCAACTACACAACGTTTCTTCGCTGACGGTCGAGTCAGGCGGGGCGGACAGTCCAGGTGTGACCTGCCCTGGGCGCTAAGGCACCTGAGGCCGAGGAGATCTAGGATTCTCAGCTGAGGATCGAGTGGGCAGATTCGTGCTGCAAGGACAAAAGACTCCCGTGGAGTGAGTGGTCCCTGCCCCTCCGAAATGTAGTATCCAATTGGAGAGATAACACACCTGCACACAGGAAAGAAACGAACAGCCAAGAAAGCAAACCCACTCCGAAAAATCACATCTGAAACTGGACCGAGAGCTTACTCACGTTTCAGAACAAGAGCCACCTGAGTAGACCCGCTGTCACCATCATCCCCAGCACAGCCATTAAACGACCAGATCAACCCAATAACTAACGCGGATCACGAAGTCAGGGGTTCCAGACCAGCCTGGCCATCATAGTGAAACCCTGTGTCTACTAAAAATACAAAAAAGGGAAAAAAAGTTAGCCAGGTGTGGTGGTGGGAGACTGTAATCCCAGCTACTTGGGAGGCCGAGGCAGGAGAATCGCTTGAACCAGGGAGGCGGAGGTTGCAATGAGTAGAGATTTCACCATTGCACTCCAGCAGAGCAAGACTCCATCTCAAAAAAAAAAAAAAAAAAAGCACACACAACTTCCTTGGTAACTCCTAAAGGCCTCCTAAATTCCTGGAGCTAGCCATGTACTCACCCAGCGCTGTACCAAGGCAAGTTTCTGGCCACCACAAACCATTAATCCATTCTTTCCTCCAGTATTTAATGGGTGTGTGTGAATGTGCCAGGCTCCTTGCTGGGCTCTGGGAAATAGTCCTGCAAGGACAAGCCAGATCTGCCCCATGCAGCAAGCCTGAAACTGGACTACATCCATGGATGGTCTCCAGGACTGCACCTATATTTTGACCTAAAGTATGAACACCTAGGATGTTCATGAAGAGGATTCACTGTACCTCTTGCTCCACTCTGTTCTACTTCATTGAAATAATCGTTTGTGGGTTTTCCTAAGCTCTACCAAGGAACAGGCCTTAGTTATTCTAATTGACCTCTCGCCTGCATTTGAACACTTCCTCCTTGAATTTCCTGTTCATTGCCATGACTCCGCCTTCTACATCTCCTCTGCGCTGTGACCATTCTCCTTTGCTGCCTGTACTCTCAGGGGCTTTTCAGAACCATTCCTGAACCTCCTTCTGTGTCGCCTGTGTCAGATTGTCACATTCCCACAATGTCAACTACTGCCCGTATCCCGAGAAAACCCAAATTTTGACTTCCAGTCCCCAAGTGGCAGGCCTGAACACTCATTCTGCTCATCCCACAGGTCCATCAAGCTCAACAAATCTAAAACCTTATCCACAAGCCCACTTGGCTTACCATAAATCATCACAACTAGAAATCTGGGAATCCCACCACTCTTCCTGCTTCATCCCCTGAATCCACATCTCATCAATTTTCCCTCCTAAATGACTTTTAAATCTGCACCTTACCTTCTATTTCTTAGCCAATTCTTTATCATCTCTCCTCATCTTATCAGTAACTTCTGACCGAGTCTTCCAGTCTCTACTCCTTCTCCACTGCTCCGTAGTGTCTTTCAATAATGCAAATTTGAATTTGCCCTTGAAATTCTCCAGGGGCTGCATAAGCATGAGCCTCTTTGGCATGGCATTAAAGTTCTCTATCTGTCCACTCCCACTGCCATCTTCCACCACCCTCCACGCAAATGCACCTCATATTTCTGTTTTCACAAACCAAGACTGCCATACTCCTGCATGTTTCCTTGATTTCTCTGATTCTCCTATCCCTGGCCTCCTAGCTGAGGGCTTTCCATGTGTCTTGATACATGGAGAGATTAAATAATATGCCTAAGATTCTGTAGCCAGCAAGGAGTAGAGCTGGGATTTGAAACCAGATAGTCAGGCCACAGTCTGTTCCTCTGAGTAACACATATTTCCCACCAAGATCTGAGTACTCGACTCAAAGACCACGTTCTCTATGACTGTCCCCAACCTGATCCCTGGATTCCAGCAGTCAGGCACGTTTCTCTGCCTGCATTTCTCTGACACCTTCGATACACTTCTCTTATGCTTATGACATCATACGATAAGCATTTGCCTACATGACCATCTCCCCTGCCAGTCTGCACTGCTTAAGGTCAGAGACCTGGTCGCACAGATCTTTGAGTTTTCATTATCAAAGTGAGTGCCTGACATATATGTGCTACATGGAGCAGGATAAATAAATGAAAAGAGAGGAAAAAGACACCTAACTTATGTCGGTCTTAAGACAGTGGCTATATTGTTTGTTATTGTAAAGGAATGCTTGTCCTCCTTGGCAGATGTATGTTATACCATATGGTCAGATGGTACATGTGGCAGCCACTGTATCTATTACTGTACTTCCTGGCTACCGTACCAAATGTGAAATGGAGAATTATCACTCAATCATTGTGATTGGGTGAGACAAACATATTTGTTCAAATTGTCCTGATTATTTTTAAAATGGAAAAGAATCCTGAAGATAAAGCATGAATTATTTGATTGACAAAATCATATTAACTAATATGCTCATAGAACTTTTTTTGTCTTGTTTCAAATATTTAAGTAAAGGCTTTGAGTTTTTTCAAGTATAGGAGTGCTAACGACTATTTTCCATAGTAATAATCTCAGTACAATAATAAGAAATAAGATGGAAACATCTAGCTAAAATTGACTATCTTGTCTCTCTGTAGCTCTCCTCCTGTCTCCCCTCCTGCCCCCAACACATATACACACACTCCCTCTCACTGTATACCTATAAGATGAAAAAATTAATATAGTACTCATAAATATGTAATATTTCCAGATAAAACATCCAACTATTTGGAAAATAATTGATGCCACAAAAGCTTAAAAATTCTTATTAAGACAGATAACATTCACTGATAAAATAGTTGCAGTTCTGCTCAATGAAACATGTAAAAGTAAGGATATCGGCCAGGCGCAGTGGCTCAAGCCTGTAATCCCAGCACTTTGGGAGGCCGAGGCGGGTGGATCATGAGGTCAAAAGATCAAGACCATCATGGTCAACATGATGAAACCCCATCTCTACTAAAAATACAAAAAAAATTAGCTGGGCATGGTGGCATGTGCCTGTAATCCCAGCTACTCAGGAGGCTGAGGCAGGAGAATTGCCTGAACCCAGGAGGGGGAGGTTGCGGTGAGCCGAGATCGCGCCATTGCACTCCAGCCTGGGTAACGAGCAAAAACTCCGTCTCAAAAAAAAAAAAGTAAGGAGTTCATACTTCTAGAATCTGTCTTTAGCAGAAAGAGCAGAAGTAATCTAAAAAGACAGAATGCTAACATTTCTGGTAGTTCATCTAGCTAAAATTAAGCCTGCAGGGTAACTACATACACACAGACAGTTCAAAGCCACTAGTCTGAGATCCACAGCCACCACCCTCCCACACTTCACTTGGGTGCTCTCAATTTTGCCCAGCATTTACACTAATATCCTAGGGATTCAAGCTTGCTGATTTATAAATATATAAGCGTAAATGCAACTGACTGAGGGAACCTATTTTGTTTTCAGTAAAACATGGAGTTATAGCTTATGAAATCAGAATAATAACCATTTTTTAAAGGGTAAAGCAGACAGGATTAGGCAGGCCTCAGTCAGAGTGGGCTCCAGTGTATCCACAGGGAGTCTAACGTGAGAGCCACAGTTCCAAAGCTCACACAGAACTTGCCAGAGTGGGGGCTGGAAGTAGAAGAGCCTTTTGGCTCACCCCCACAGTGTTACCAGTGAGGACAAAGGAATGACTGCCGGTGCCTCCATGGTAAGAACCATTCTAAGAGGGATTCTTAATCAGGACAAGGGGTGCACCTCAGAATGGTCCCTAGGAAATTGGGTACCATTATTCCTTTCATACAGAAGAGCCAACAAAAGCAATATTCCCGTGGGTCACCTTCTAAATAGGAAAATGGGAATATTCACCAGAGCCAGTCTGTCGTCTCAAGGTACGTGTGGATCTGTTGATTTTAGCTGCTCCACACTCATGGTAGAGGAATGAACTTGCAGTAACAGCTAGGACTGGAGACCTAGCAATGAGAAACTGTCCAAGACCATCACTGATGATGTCACAATGTCCCACTGTCCCCGACTGTCTATCCTGCACCTCCCTGCCCACCCCAGCTTGGCCACTCCTAGATGAGACCAAGGCTCAGCCTGGAGTGTTTGTCTTTGACAGCTCTGGTCAGTGGCAGAGAATGAATTCATTGAAACCATAATGTGTGAAACCGTTCCACAGGAAGCAAGGTAGATGGTCCTCTCAAGTCCGGGATGTTTGTCCCTGGATACTTTTGGTAATGTCCCCCCGATGATGGCCATGGAGAGACCTGGGTATGCAATCACCCCTGCTTCCTGTCTAGTCTGTGGATAGTGTATTAGGCCTGAACATATCTCTGAGCCTCAGCATTCTCAATTACAAACTGAGATTGGGTTGAATTACAATAAATTTCCACCAAACTGTAAGTTTGTTTGATTCCTTCCTGGTAGGCTATTGTGAGCTGCCCTCAAAGATCAGAAAAGTATAGCCAATTGCATTTTTTCCTCATTCATTCGCTCTAAATACATGAAGTGCTGACACCAGCACGGTCTGACAAATACGATGCAAGCCACAAATGCAGGGCAAATGAGAACGTTTACCCTTCCTTGCAGTGACATTTTACAAAGTAAGGAGCATCCTAACCGCTGAACACGTTGGGGTGCAGGCAGAGCGCCATGCCAGGGAGGGCATGGAAGCTGCGCCTCTTCCACAGGGCCTTGCCCTGTGCATCTCTTCATCTAAATTGTCTTCTGTATCCTTTATTATACCCTTTAAATAAACTAGCAAATGGGCTGGGCGCAGTGGCTCATGCATGCAATCCCAGCACTTTGGGAGGCTGAGGCGGGCAGATCACCCGAGGTCAGGAGTTCAAGACTAGCCTGGCCAACATGCTGAAACCCTGCCTCTACTAAAAATACAAAAATGAGCTGGGCGTGGTGGTGGGTACCTGTAATCCCAGCTACTCAGGAGGCTGAGGCAGGAGAATCACTTGAACCCAGGCGGAGGTTGCAGTGAGCCAATATCGTGCCACTGCACTCCAGCCTGGGTGAAAGAGTGAAACTCCGGCCCCCAAAATAAATAAACTAGCAAATGTAAAATAGATGTAAAAAAGAAACAACAGGCTTCACCTGTTTTATTTCTAGCATCTTTTTTTTTTTTTTTTTTTTGAGACAGAGTCTTGCTCTGTTGCCCAGGCTGGAGTGCAGTGGCTTGGTCTTGGCTCACTGCAACCTCCACCTCCCGCATTCAAGAGATTCTCCTGCCTCAACCTCCTGCGTAGCTGGGATTACAGGCACATGCCACCGCCTGGCTAATTTTTGTATTCTCAGTAGAGACAGGGTTTCACCATGTTGGTCAGGCTGGCCTCCAACTCCTGACCTCAAGTGATCCACCTGCCTCAGCCTCTCAAAGTGCTGGGATTACTGGGATTAGCCACCATGTCTGGCCTGTTTCTAACAATTTATTTAACCCAAGATATTCAAAATATCAGCATTTCAACATGTACTCAATGTAAAATATCAATGACATATGTTACATTCTTTTTTCCAAGTACGTCTTTGAAATGCGGTGTATTTTACACCCAACGTGTATCTTTATTTGGCCTGTAGCCATATTTCAAGTGTGCGGTTGAATAGTGGCAGTGGCTACCGTATTGACCGGCATGTGCCTCAGCAGTGGCTGTGCTGGAAGAGATGCTTAACAATTGAGAGTAACAAGTACTCTTACCTTCAGGAAACACATGAGAACCAAAACAAGCTTGAAATATTTACATATAACCAACAGTAAGCACAGAACTATTTAGTATTTGGAAAGTCAACATAGCTCAATTGGAAAAAAGCATGTGGTAAAGGGCAATAATAATTATTCTTAAAAAATAAATATCTCTTGGATAAATGTTTTCACTGTCTATAGCAAACTAGGAAAACCACTCATACACATGTATAACATCTTTCAAGCACCTGTAATTTGCTTGACCCTGAACATGTTATCCTGTTCAATGTGATTTCCGCACAGGGATTTTTTTCAATCAAAATAAGACATAGGAAACACAGAAGCACATTTCACAAGCACTTCAGAGTTCTGAGGTGTTTTTCTGCTGGGCTATACAGGAGATAAGAGAATGCCATTTTCTCCATATCCTTCATGATATGTCACACTTTTAAAAGAAATTATTTGGGATGGATGAAAAGAGAAGAGTTTGGAGAAAGGGAAGGTTTTTGTGCAAATATTATAAAACCAAAAAAGGTTAATATCAGGGTCAGGTTAGCCTAGTGCACTGTGAAAGAGAAAAATAAAAATAACAAAAGGCTAAGATTGTGAGATGAGCATTTTGAGAATATATGTACCAAAAGAAATTAATGAAGGAATCTAAAGGACACACACACACAGACACACACACAAAGGTGCAGCCCCAACAGGTTAATCTATTGTGGGAGGTCGGAGAGACTTCTTCAGGATATGTGGGCCGGGAGATGACTGGGCAAAGGACTTTAGAGATCAAATGTAACATAGCAGCTCTTAATTGACCAAAGGTATAAAAGAGAGAAAAATGCTGTGGCCACAGATCAGCACACTGAAGCAAAACAATTTTGTGGAAAGCCTGGCCCCAGAAGGGAGATGCAGGGGGATGGCAGCTGAGGAGAGAGGAAGGAGGCGGGAAGGTCCTTGTCAAGCCTGCCAGGGTGAGCTCTGGGGAGGTGTTGGTGACAGCACAGTGCAGATCAGGTCTAGCTGGAAAGAACTGCCAGCGGGAGGGGTGAGCAGGGAGGAAGGGATTATTTTCATTCTTGATGGATAGGATACAGCCCGGCAGAGTAACAGCATAGCTGTGAAGTGTGTAAGAGAATCCCTCGCTCAGTCCGTGCAAGTGTGACAGAGCTACATGCCCTGGGTGAAGTCTATGGCGCAGAGCCCAAGTTCCTAGTCCACCACCACTGAGCCAGGTGTTTTGTTGGGTTGGCTGATTTAGTGCCTGAGAAGGATCTGTGAGTTGATCCCAATCCTTCAGATGGATGATTTTTCAAAATGAAGTATTGACAACTTCATAATTTCACCAATTCCGCCCCCACCCCCCCCCATATGATCTCTACATTATTTAAAGTTCAGGCAACTTGATATTTTCTTTTTACAGTTTGTTTTCTTTTTATATAACTTAAAAACTGAGGAGTGACATCAGCTTTAAAGCTTTTGGAAAAGGCCTGTGGGCTCCATGAAAGAGTCATGGGCTAAGAAACTGTCTTCCAGTTTAGCTGTCACCGTATGACTGGGCAACTCATAGCTGTCTTCTTTGAGCCTCAATTGTCCTATCTGGCTTAAAAAGAGAAGTTCTGTCCTAAAATTTACATGGAATAGCAAAACAATTTTGGAAAATTTGTTTGGAAAACAAAATTTTAGTTAAATTTTTTGGTATGTGATACAGAAATTTGGAAAACAAAATTCGAGGACTTAACATTTGCTGATTTCAAACCTTACAGTAAAGCTACTGTAAGACCCTATTGTCCTGGCATAAAGATAGACATAGATTAATGGGAAAGAATTGAGAATCCAGAAATAAACCTTTATATTTGTGGTCAATTGATTGTCAGTAAAGGTATCACGGCAATTCAATGAGGGGAAGAGCAGTTTATTCAACAAACGGTGCTGGAATAACTAGACAATCTTATTTAAAAGACTAAATCTAGACTTTGTGCCATACAGTATTAGTCCATTGTCACACTGCTCTAGAGACCAGGTAATTTTTGAAGAAGAGAGGTTTAATTGGCTCATGGTTCTGCAGGCTATACGGGAAGCATGATGGCTTCTGCTTCTGAAGAGGCCTCAGGAAACGTTTCCTCATGGCAGAAGGCAAAGCAGGAGCAGGTGTCCTACATGACAGCAGCAGAACCAAGCGCTGTGGGGAGGTGCCACACATTTTTAAACAACCAGATCTCACGAGAACTTACTGTCATCAGCACCAAGGGGAAAACCCGCCCGCATGACTCAATCACCACCCACCAGCCCCTGACCTCCAGCATCGGGGATTACAAGTTGACATAAGATTTGGGCAAGAACACAGATCAAAATCCTAACACATAACCAAAAAATTTAACTAAAAAATGAATCAGAGAGCAAAACATAAGAGGTAAAACTGTGAAACTTTAGGAAAAACATAGAAGGAAATATTTATGACCTTGAGCAAGTCCAGAAGTTCCTAGACGTGACCCCAAAAGCACAATACATGAAAGAAAAAAAATTGATAAATGGGACTTTATCAAAATTGGAAATTTTGCACTTTTAAAAGACATCATGAAAAGAATGAAAACAAGCTACAGACTACAAATTATATACCTGATAAAGAACCTATATCCAGAATATGTTAAAGACTTTAACAACTCAGTAGTAAAACAAGAAATCCAATTTTATTTTATTTTATTTTTTACTTTTTTAAAGACAGGGTTTTACCATATTGGTCAGGCTGGTCTCCAACTTCTGACCTCAGATGATCCACCCGCCTCAGCCTCCCAAAGTGCTGGGATTACAGGCATGAGCCACCATGACCAGCAAGAAATCCAATTTTATTTTTATATTTTAATGTTTTTTTGAGACAGACTCACTCTGTCACCAGGTTGGAGTGCAGTGGTGCAATCTCAGCTCAGTGCAACCTCCACTTCCTGGGTTCAAGTGATTATCCTACCTCAGCCTCCTGAGTAGCTGGGATTACAGCTGGGCGACCCCATGACCAGCTAATTTTTGTATTTTTAGTACAGATATTCACTATGTTGGCCAGGATGGTCTCGAACTCCTGACATTATGATCTGCCCGCCTTGGCCTCCAAAAGTGCTGGGATTGCAGGGGTGAGCCACCGTGCCCAGCCTATTTTACTTTTTTCATTTCATTTTTAAAATTTCTTTTCCAGACCATACTACAATGAATATTTTCAGCCATACATCCTGGCGTGCCTGGGTAGGTATATCCGTACAAAAAAACTCCTCAGAGCGGAATGTCTGAATTAAAGGGTATTTTAACAGATATGAATGTTTTACCAAATTGACCTTCAAAAAAGTTATGCCAATTTATATTCTCATTATCAGTGTGTGAATATACATTTCCTACAAATCTTGCCAAATCCAGATTTTTGTAATCCCTTTTACTTGTTGCCAATCTAATAGGTAAAAATAACAATATCCTGCTGTTTTAATTTACATTTTTAAAAATTTAGCTTCCAAGTTCAAGGGCATAGGTTTGTTATACAGGTAAACCTGTGTCATGGGTTTGCTGTTGTTCCTGTTGTTTTGAGATGGAGTCTCGCTCTGTTGCCCAGGCTGGAGTGCAATGGTGTCATCTCAGCTCACTGCAACCTCCACCCCCCTGAAGCAATTCTCCTGCCTCAGCCTCCTGAGTAGCTGGGATTACAGGTGTGCACTCCTACACCTGGCTAATTTTCATATTTTTAGTAGAGACAAGGTTTCACCATGTTGGCCAGGCTGGTCTCGAACTCCTGACTTCAGGTGATCTGCCCGCCTCAGCCTCCCAAAGTGCTGGGATTAGAGGTTTGAGCCATTGTGCCATGGGGGTTTGTTGTACAGATCATTTCCTCACCCAGGTACTAAGCCTAGTACCCATTTGTTATTTTTCCTCAACCTCTCCTCCTCCTAGACTCTACTCTCTGATAGGCCCCAGTGTGTGTTGTTCACCTCTATGTGCCCATATGTTCTCATAATTTAGCTCCCACTTATAAGTAACAACATGAGGTATTTGGTTTTCTGTTCCTGTGTTAGTTTGCTAAGGATAATGGCCTCCAGCTCCGACCATGTTCCTGCAAAGGACATGATCTCATTCTTTTTAATGGCTGCATAGTATTCCTAGTTTTCTTTATCCAGTCTACCACTGATGGGCATTTAGGTTGATTCTATGTCTTTGCAATTGTGAACAGTGCTGCAATGAACATACGTGTGTGTGTCTTTATGACAGAATGGTTAATATTGCTTTGGGTGTATGCTCAGTGATGGGATTATTGGATCAAAAGATATTTCTGTTTTAGGTCTTTAAGGAATCATCACATTGTTTTTCCACGATGGCTGAACTAATTTAAACTTTCACCAACAGTGCATAAGCATTTCTTTTTCTCTATATACTCACCAGCATCTGTTATTTTTTGACTTTTTAATAATAGCTATTCTGACTGGTGTGAGACCGTATCTCATTGTGGTTTTGATTTGCATTTCTCTAATGATCAGCAATGCTGAGCTTTTTTTCATATGATTTTTGGTTGCATGTGTGTCTTCTTTTAAAAAGTGTCTGTTCATGTTCTTTGCCCACTTTTTAATTTTTTTTCTTGTAAATTTATGTGTCTTATAGATGCTGGATATTAGACCTTTGTCAGATGCATAATTTGCAAGAATTTTCTCCCCTTCTGTTGTCTGTTCATTCTGTTGAGAGTATCCTCGGCTGTGCAGAAGCTCTTTAGTTTTATTAGATCCTATTTGTCAATTTTCGCTTTTATCACAATTGCTTTTGGCAACTTTGTCATTAAATCTTTGCCCGTTCTGATGTCCAGAACGGTGTCACCTAGGTTGTCTTTAAGATTTTTATGGTTTTGGGTTTTAAGTTTTTAATCAATCTTGAGTTAATTTTTGTATATGGTGCAAGGAAGTGGTCCAGTATCAATCTTCTGCTTATGGCTAACCAGTTATCCCAATACCATTTATTGAATAGGGAATCCTTTCCCCATTGCTTGTTTTTGTCAAGTTTATTGAAGATCAGATAGTTGTAGGTTTGTGGTCTTATTTTTGGGCTTTCTATTCTGTTCTATTGGTCTATGTTTCTGTTTTCCTAACAGTACCATGCTGTTTTGATTACTGTAGCCCTGTAGTATAGTTTGAAGATTGGTAAATTGATGCCTCCAGTTTTGTTCTTTTTGGTTAGGATTGCCTCATCTATTTGGGCTTTTTGGTTCTGTATGAATTTCAAAATAGTTTGCACCCGGGTGTGGTGGCTCACGCCTATAATCCCAGCACTTTGGGAGGCTGAGTCGGGTGGATCACAACGTCAGGACATTGAGACCATCCTGGCCAACATGGTGAAACCCCATCTCTACTAAAAAAACACAAAAAATAGCTAGGCATGATGGTGCATACCTGTAATCCCAGCTACTCGGGAGGCTGGGGCAGGAGAATCACTTGAACCAGGGAGTTGGAGGTTGCTGTGAGCCAATCACAGCACTGCATTCCAACCTGGGGAAAGAGCGAGATTCTGTCTCAAATAATAATAATAATAAAATAAAAGTTTTTTTCTAGTTTTTTCTTTTTCTTTTTGTAGACAGAATCTCACTCTGTCACCCAGGCTGGAGTGCAGTGGCACCATTTTGGCTCACTGCAACCTCCACTTCCCAGGTTCAAGCAATTCTCCTTCCTCAGCCTCCCAAGTAGCTGGGGCTACTGTTGCATGCTAGTTTTTTCCAGTTCTGCAAAGAATGTCAATGGTAATTTAATAGAAATAGCAATTAATCTATAAATTGCTTTAGACAGTATGGCCATTTTAATTATATTGATTGTTCCTATCAATGAGCATGGAACGTTTTTCTTTTTGTATCATCTGTGATTTCTTTGGGCAGTGTTTTGTAGTTCTCCTTGTAGAGATCTTTCACCTCCCCGATTAGCTGTATCCCTAGTCATTTTATTTTTTGCATGTGGCAGTTGTGAATGGAATTGCATTTCTGATTTGGCTCTCAGCTTGACTGTTGTTGGTGTATAGGAATGTTAGTCATTTTGCACATTGATGTTGTATCCTGAGACTTTGCTGAAGTTTTTTTTAAATCAGCCTAAGGAGATGTTGGTCAGAGACTATGTGGTTTTCTACACATAGGATCACGTCATCTGCAAACAGGGATAATTTGACTTCCTCTCTTCCTATCTGGATGTCCTTTATTTCCTTCTTTTGCCTGATTGTCCTGGCCGGAACTTCCAATACTATGTTGAATTCAAGTGGTGGGAGAGGGCATTCTTGTACCAGTTTTCAAGGGGATTGCTTCCAGCTTTTGCCCATTCAGTATGATGTTGGCTCTGGGTTTGTCATAGATGCTCTTATTATTTTGAGGTGTGTTCTTTCAATACCTAATTTGTCAAAAGTTTTAACATGAATGGGTGTTGAGTTTTACTGAAAGCCTTTTATCCACCCATTGAGATAATCATGTGGTTTTTGTCTTTGGTTCTGTTTATGTCAACTGCATTTATTGACTTAAATAATATTGAGCCAACCTTGCATCCCAGGGATAAAGCCTACTTGACTGTGGTGGGTAATTTTTGAGTTGCTGCCAATATTTTGTTGAGGATTTTTGCATCAATGTTCATCAAGGATACTGGCCTGAAGTTTTCTTCTTTTTGTTGTGTCTCTCCAAGGGTTTGGTATCAGGATGATGCTGGCCTTAAAGAATGAGTTAGAGAGGAGTCCTCCTCCTCAATTTCTTTGGAATCGTTTCAGCAGGAATGGTACCAGCTCTTCTTTGTACAGCTGGCAGAATCTAGCTGTGAATCCATCTGGTGAGGGCTTTTTATGGTTGGTAGGCTATTCATCACTGACTCAATTTCAGAGCTTGTTATTGGTTTGCTCAGGGATTCGGTTTCTTCCTGGTTCAGTCTTGGGAAGGTCTATGTGTCCAGGAATTTAACTGTTTCTTCTAGATTTTGTAGTCTATGTGCATAGAGGTGTTCATAATATTTTATGATGGTTATTTGTACTTTTATGAGGTCAGTAGTAATATCCTCTTTGACATTTCTGATTGTGTTTATTTGTTTATTTTTTAAGACAGAGTCCCACTCTGTTGCCCAGGCTAGAGTGCAGTTGTATGACCTTGGCTCATGGCAACCTCCATTTCCCGGCTTCAAGTGATTCTCCTATCTGAGCCTCCTGAGTAGCTGGGATAACAGGCACATGCCAGCATGCCCAGTTAATTTTGGTATTTTTATTAGAGATGGGGTTTCACCACATTGGTCAGACTGGTTTGAACTCCTGATCTCAAGTTATCTGCCTACCTTGACTTCCCAAAGTGCTGGGACTGCAAGCATGAGCCATCATGCTCGGCTCTGACTGTGTTTATTTGAATCTTCTCTCTTTATTTATTCTTTCTTCTTTATTAGTCTAGCTAGTAGTCTATTTTAAAAAAAATCTCCTGGATTAATTATCTTTTGAGCAGTTTTCCATGTCTGAATCTCTTTCAGTTCAGCTCTGATTTTGGTTCTTAGTTTTCTGCTAGCTTTAGGATTGCTGTGCTCTTGGTCTCTAATTCTTTTAGCTGTGTTGTTAGGTCATCAAATTGAGATTTTTCTAACTTTTTGATATGGGCATTTAATTCCTATTTTTTTTTTTTTTTTTGAGATGGAGTCTCACTTTGTTGCCCAGGCTGGAGTGCAGTGGCATGACCTTAGCTCACTGCAACCTCCACCTCCCAGGTTCAAGTGATTCTTCTGCCTCAGCCTCTCGATTAGCTGGGACTACATGTGCACACCACCATGCCTGGCTATTTTTTTGTATTTTTAGCAGAGACAGTGTTCACCATGTTGGCCAGGCTGGTCTTGAGCTCAAGTGATCTCTCTGCCTCAGCCTCCCAAAGTGCTGGGATTGTAAGTGTAAGCCACCATGCTCAGCCTTATATAGGCATGTAGTTCTATACATTTCCCTCTTAACACTGTCTTTGCTGTGCCTCAGAGATTCTGATGTATCTTTGTTCTCATTAGTTTCAAATAACTTCTTGATTTCTGCCTTAATTTTTTTTTTTTTTTTGAGACAGAGTTTCACTGTTGTTACCCAGACTGGAGTGCAATGGCACGATCTCGGCTCACCGCAACCTCTGCCTCCTGGGTTCAAGCAATTCTCCTGCCTCAGCCTCCCGAGTAGCCGGGACTACAGGTACACGCCACCATGCCCAGCTAATTTTTGTATTTTTAGTAGAGACGGGGTTTCACCTCGTTGACCAGGATGGTCTCAATCTCTTGACCTCATGATCCACCCACCTCGACCTCCCAAAGTGCTGGGATTATAGGCGTGAGCCACTGTGCCCGGCCAATTTCTGCCTTAATTTCATTCTTTACCCAAAAGTCATTCAGGTGCAGGTTATTCAAATACCATGGAATTGCATGGTTTTGAGTGAATTTCTTAGCCTTGATTTCTAATTCAATTGCACTGTGACCTGAGAAATTGGTTATTACGATTTCAGTTCTTTTGCCATGTGGTGATGAGAAGAATGTATATTTGGTTGTTTTTGGGTAGAGAGTTCTGTAGATGTCTATCAACTCCCTTTGATCCACCGCCAAGTTCAGGTCCTAAATATCTGTTAATTTTCTGTCTCAATGATCTGTCTAATATTGTCAGCAGGATTTATAGTCTCCCACTATTATTATGTGGAAGTTTAAGGCTCTTTGAAAGCCTCTAAGTACTTGTTTTATGAATCAGGGAGCTACTGTGTTGGGTTCATATATATTTAGGATAGTTAGATTTCCCTGTTGAATTTAACCTTTTACCGTTATGTAATGTCCTTGTCTTTTTTGACCTTCCTTGGTTTAATGTCTGTTTTGTCTGAAACTAGGATTGCAACCCCTGCTTTTTTCTGTTTTCCACTTGCTTGTTTTCCACATCCTCTTATTTTGAGCCTGTGAGCATCATTACATGTGAGATGGGTCTCTTGAAGACAGCACATCAATGAGTCTTGATTCTTTACCCAGCTTGCCACTTTGTACCTTTTAATTGGGACATTTGGCTCATCTACATTCAAGGTTGATACTGATATGTGTGGATTTGATTCTGTTATCATGATGTTAGCTGGCTATTTTGTAGACTTGTTTACATGATTGCTTTATAGTGTCACTGGTCTGTGTCCTTCAGTGTGTTTTTGAAGTGGCTGGTAATGGTCTTTCCTTTCCATATTTAGTGCTTCTTTCAGGAGCTCTTGTAAGGCAGGTCTAGTGGTAACAAATTCCCTCAGCATTTGCATGTCTGAAAAGGCTCTTATTTCTCCTTTGCTTATGAAGCCTAGTTTAGCCAGATATGAAACTCTGGGTTGAAATTTCTTTAAGAATATTGAATATTGGCTCCCCCCAAATCTCTTCTGGCTTGTAAGATTTCTGCTGAGAGGTCTACTATTAGTCTGATAGAGTTCCCTTGTTGTTGACCTGGGTCTTTCTCTCTACCAGCCTTTAACATTTTTTTCTTTCATTCCAGCCTTGGAGAATCTGATGATTATATGTGTCTTCAGGATGAACTTCTTGTGAAGTATCTTACTGGGATTCTCCACATTTCCTAAATTTGAATGTTGGTAGGCTATTCATTACTGACTCAATTTCAGAGCTTGTTATTGGTCTGCTCAGGGATTCAGTTTCTTCCTGGTTCAGTCTTGGGAAGGTATATGTGTCCAGGAATTTATCCGTTTCTTCTAGATTTTGTAGTTTATGTGCAAAGAGGTGTTCATAATGTTTTCTGATGGTTACTTGTACTTTTATGGGGTCAGTAGTAATATCTAGCTGGGTTGGGAAAGTTCTCATGGATGAGATCTTGAAATATGTTTTCCAAGTTGTTTGCATTCTCCCCATCTCTTTCAAGGACAGCAATGAGTCATAGATTTGGTCACTTTTACATAATCTTATATTTATCAGAGTTTTTGTTTATTCCTTTTCATTCATGCTTCTCTATTCTTGTCTGACTGTCTTATTTCAGAAAGCCAGCCTTCAAGCTCTGAGATTCTTTCCTCTGCTTGGTCTATTCTGCTATTAATACTTGTGATTGCATTATGAAATTCCTGTAGTATGTTTTTCAGCTCTATCCGATCAGTTATATTCTTTTCTATACTGGCTATTTTGTCTGTCAGTTCCTGCATTGTTTTATTATGATTTTTAGCTTTCTTGGATTGGGTTTCAACATATTCCTGCAGCTCAATGATCGTCATTCCTATCCATATTCTGAATCCTATTTCTGACATTTCTACCATCTCAGCCTTGTTTAGAACCCTTGCTGGAGAGGGGATGCTGTCATTTGGAGGAAAGGAAGTACTCTGGCTCTTTGAGCTGTCAGGATTCCTGCACTAATTCTTTCTCATATTTGTGGCCTTATCTTCATTCAATCTTTGAGGCTGCTGACCTTTGGGTGTTTTTTTCTTTTATTCTATTTGACGACCTGGAGGAAGTGACTGTGGTATAAGGTGGATTCAGCTGACTGGCTTTGTTTCTGGAAGATTAGGGGCCCAGTGCTCAGCTCCCAACTCCCAGACTGCATGCTCTAACTCTGGGAGACTTCTATTGGGCCCTGACTTTGTTCTCTGGCTTCAAGGTTAGGAATCCACTGCACTGTTGTGGGGGACGGGGAGTGGGGAGGTGGCTATGGGGCGAGGTGCTCATGAACTGATGGTCACTACACTCTGATGGATGGTGTCAGCCAAAGCGTTTAATAGTGCAGTGACAGCAGATCCATCCTCATTTGCACACGCCAGTAGCAGTGGTAGTGGCAGCTGTGGTAGAGATCTAGCAGGTGTCAGGTGTCTGCCTCCCTGCAGGCAGTCACCACAGTGGTGGAGGCTACACAGCTGGGGATGTGCAGAGGGCCTCCGCTGGTGACTGTGTCTGTGCTGGAGGTGGTGTCAGCTCTGGGGCAGGGTGCTGGCAGGTACAGATCTGGGTACCTTCTCTGTGCCCCACAAACAAGAGTGGTCACTTAGGGTGGAGGACGATCTGCTGTTCTCTGCACAGTGTTAGTGCAAGGGTGTGGTGCTGACAGGGGCCAAGCTGGCTGGCTCTGTGTTTGCCAAGGCTCTGTCTGCAATGGTGATCAGTTGGGGATTGGGAGGTGGCTGCACTCCCATGCTGGCAGGGCAAGGAATGAAAAACCCCCCGTGCAGACATGGGCCAGCAAAGCGATGTGGGAGCTGCTGTGGACCCTGGGGAAGCTGCAGTTTGGGGAGGGAGTGTGTGGGCTGGTGTGTGGCTGTAGGGACCACCCCTCTGCAGCTCTCCACCAGTCAAGCACAGTCCACCAGAACGGAAGCTATGGTGTTGGCCCTCGGCACCTGAAGCTGACTTGCAAGCCGGCCAGGCTGGGGCCCATCAGACAGTGCCAGCAGACCAAGGGGTGCCCAGGGCCAACTGGCCCTGTCTAATGGACAAGACCACCCTGCAGAATTCATGTCCATCAGTTCCCCTAAAGCAAAAGTCTCCTATAGGAGCAAGTTGAATCTAGGGGGATGGACATTCCTGGCCGTGCTGTGCTACAGATGCTTCCATATGAAACCCTCTGGGCTCCACATCAGCATGTGTGCTGCCCCTACCACTTCTCTAAGCACCTCACCCTGCCAAATTGAGTGTCTGTAGTGGTCGAGGGGCCTTCTCCTGCCAGGGATCCTGAGGCCCATGGTGAGAGTGGGTTGCTCCTGGCCAGTTCAACTCACCCATTCCCCCAGAGCTCTTGGGGCCAGGAATGATCCAGGTGTGCTTGGCCTTGTGTAAGGTTTCCAGCTTTTTCCTGCTTCAGCCCCGTTTTTGTGTCTTCTCTCCATCTACTCAGTGCCTTGTCTCACAGCAAGGGTTTTCAATTGCTCATACTGAGTGCCACAAAACATGACACATATCCATCAGTATCCTCTCCTTCAGGACCCTGTTTAGGGTCACAAACTTGGGATATTGACCCAGTGTGAATGTTCTAGGCTTAAAAAATGGAGGGCTGGGCACAAGGGCACATTCCTGTAATCCCAGCACTTTGGGAGGCCGAGGTAGGTGGATCACTTGAGCCCAAGGGTTTGAGACCAGCCTGGGCTATGTGGCAAAACCTCATCTACACAAAAAAATGAAAAAATTAGCTGGTGTGGTGGTGTATACCTGTAGAAGTCCTAATCACTAGAGAGGCTCCGGTGGGAGGATCGCTAACCCAGGAGGCGGAGGTTACAGTGAGCCATGATCACAGCACTGCACTCCAGGCTGGGCGACAGAGTGAGACCCTGTTTCCAAAAAAAAGGCAAAATGAAGTAAAATATAATATCTTTCTCTCATTAAATCTTACTTCTCTTTTTGCTTAAATATTGATAATATACTATAATTTACTATAATAATACCATAACCTTTTTTTTTTTTTTTTGAGACGGAGTTTCACCGTTGTTGCCCAGGCTGGAGTGCAATGGTGCAATCTCAGCTCACCACAACCTCCACTTCCCAGGTTCAAGTGATTCTCCTGCCTCAACCTCCTGAGTAGCTGGAATTACAGGTATGCACCACCACACCAGGCTAATTTTTGTATTTTTAGTAGAGATGGGGTTTCACCATGTTGGCCAGGCTGATCTCAAACTCCTGACCTCAGGTGATCCGACTGCCTCAGCCTCCCACACTGCTGGGATTACAGGCATGAGCCACCGTACCTGGCCACTATAACATATTTAATAACATGTCCTTACACATTTATGCCTTTAGTATATATCTGCAGAATAGATTTGAAAATCATTCATTCATTTACTCATTCAACAAGTTATTTATTGAAGACCTACTTCATCCAATAAAATGAGTATTTTCCTCAGCTTACAAAAGGGTCAAATGATTTTTTAAATTATGAAATATAACAAGTATACATAAAAGTGCAAAAACCCAAGTGTGCAGCCTAACAGCTTGTTGTGAAATAACCCCCAGTGTAGTCACCTTCCCACCTCGGTCAAGACACAGAACATCAGCCGGGCACGGTGGCTCACGCCTGTAATCCCAGCACTTTAGGAAGCTGAGGCAGGCTGATCACGAGGTCAAGAGATTGAGACCATCCTGGCCAACATGGTGAAACCCTGCCTCTACTAAAAATACAAAGATTATCTGGGCATGGTGGTGCATACCTGTAGTCCCAGCTACAGGCTGTTGCCTGGGCGACAGAGCAAGACTGTATCTCAAAAACTGCACTCCAGCCTGGGTGACAGAGACTCAAAAAAAAAAAAAAATAATAATAATGCTTTTATGACATAGTTGGTAATGACAAAGGAATAACTGAAGAAGAAGACCCAAACTATCTTGTTTTTGTCCGTGTTTTTTTGTTTTGGGGGAGGCTGGTTTTGGAATCAGAATTATTTCGAATCTAATCTAACAGTTTAGCAAAATGGTAATGAGGGGTGGTACATACAGAGAATGACATGAGCCATTCTTAGTAGGGAGGCAGCTGATGTCTGTGCTGTGGCTTGGAGGCTGCAGAGGAGAGTGCACACTTCACTTGGAACTCACTGCAGGAGACTGAGCCCATTAGAGGCACCAAGGCATTCTGAGTCCCCAGGGATCCAGGAAATGGGAGGCAAATGTCAGGGTGACAAGATAATCATCAGTATCAGGGCTATCATCTCCAAAAGGCCCAGGCACCCCTTGGTCCAGAAGGAATGGTGTCCCCAGGGACATTCACAGAGGTTGGAGGAGGATGGGCAAAGTGTTTCCACTCAGCCTGTGGCTTTGAGAGTTGTAGGCAAGACCTCCTGGGATGCCTGATACTCCCAATCTGGTGGGGAGAAACTACTAACCTCTAGGGGCAGCATCTTGGGGGCCAGCCCTCAAGGACCATGTGTCATTAGCAGGAGGGGACTGGTACCCTAAGGTTCTCTGCACTAACCATTTAGGGACAGCCATCTTCTCTTCTACCATACAGCTTAAATCACATTTTCCTCTTCTGGGGTATTTAGAAGCTTAGTGTGAATATCTACACATGCTTTTTTGAGATCCTCTGATGAAAATACAATACCAATGCAAACATTCCTATCAACACTGCAAATATTTTCATGACCACAGCACAAGTGCCGTGGCTAGGCAGGCAGAGATGCACGTTGCACCTTCTAATATTCCTAAGAGAACTAGTTGAGGGTTAACAGCAAGTGTGCAGGAGTGAGAAGTCAATTGTGGCAGGGGAAAAAGTGGAAGAGAGTTCAGCTAAACAAAAGACAGCCCTACTCTGCTGCCCAGCAGGTGTGATGCCTGCCCACACTGAGGCTCAAGCCAGACACAGGCTTCCCCTCCAGCACCAGCTCCACACATGTGACAACCGATGGTGGCAGGTGGCACAAGCCCAGACCCAGCCTTCATGAAGAAGTGAAATGTTTCTGGGCATGCTGCTGTCCCACCAGCACACAGCTCTAGCTGCTGACTGAGGCTTCCCCCAGAGTCTGTCAGCGACAGTGTGTCAGGGGTTGACAGGTGCCTGGGTCACACTGGAGCAGGCTACAGCTGGGGGAAGGTGGGGTGATATGGGACGGGGGAGATGCATGTCCAGGCAAGATTTTTCAAGCATCCTGGGGCCTGGGATTTTTCCTGGCAAGAGTAACCAGCTAGGCTGAATTTACAGCAGTTTCTTAATTGCTCCCTAGCAATAACCAGAGTTGGCAATAACTACCAGACAAGTACAAATGATTTCCCAGGTACAATGTTAAAGGCAACCTCTACATTTTCTCCTTTAATCTTCAAAACAAGCCTGTGAGGTAGTGCTGCCACCCCAGTTTTACAGATAAAACTCAGAGAGGTGAAATGACTTGCCCGAGGCAATACAGCTAATAAGGTCTGAATGCAAGAATTTTAACTCCAAAGCTGTCATTTCAACTACAAGGCTGTGTTCTCCCCTGTGATCAAAAAACAATCATTAGGGTTCTTAAATTTTGTTGTTCTCTTGGTTATTAATACCTGAGCCAAGCTACTGTCAAAGAGAAGGTAGCAAGCTTCTTTTTTTTCCCAACTAATGACTCCGTTTTGGTCCATGCCTCTAATGGATCTTATTCAAGGCAGAAGTACTTTTAAGTCAAGATGCACACCAAAGTGTGCACCACCCAGACCTCCCATCCCAGGCTTGCACTTTTTCCTTTTCTTTTTTTTTTTTGAGACAGGGTCTCTCTGTCACCCAGGCTGGAGTGCAGTGGCATGTGATCACAGATCAATGTAACCTCAAACTCTTGGGCTCAAGCGATCTTCCCACCCCAGCCTCCAAAGTAGCTGGGACTACAGGCACTCGCCACCATGCCTGGCTAGCTTTTTTTGTAGATACATGGGGCAGGTGGTGTGGGGCTTGTCTCCAACTCCCGGCTCCAAGTGATCCTCCAAACTCTGCCTCCCAAAGTGCTGGGATTATAGGCTTGAGCCTCTGCAGCCAGCCTGGCCCACATGCCTGGTGTCTGTTTGGGACTGTCTCCAGTCTCTCTCTACCTTCCAGTCTATATTCCAGATTGTGGACATTACACAACTTGAAAACTTAAGTTGGCTGAAAATCTCCAACAGCTCCTCGCTGCCTCCAGAATGAAGCCCTCTGGGACAAGTCCTCTGTCTGGCTGTTACTGCTAGGCAGCTGTGTCCCCTTGCCTCTCTCTAACTAGTCGCCCAGGCCACACACTCTGTGCCCTGAACACATTGCATGCCTTCACGCCTTACCGTTCTAGGCGTGCTAGTCTCTCTGCCTGCAATGGCCTGGACTCACTGCCTTCTTTCTCCATCTGGCAAATGGCTATCCTCCAAAGCCCAGTTCAAACATCACTGCTTCTCCCTCAGCCTCCTGACCCAAAGCAGACTAGCATTTCACTCACCTGACGGCACATGGCACGTAGTAGACAGGTATATTATACCACTGTCAATTGTTATTATTTTTTGAGATGGAGCCTCACTCTATTGCCCAGGCCAAAGTGGAATGGTGCGATCTTGGCTCACTGCAACCTCGGCCTCCAGGGTTCAAGCAATTCTCCTGCCTCAGCCTCCTGAGTAGCTGGGACCACAGGTGTCTGCCACCATACACGACTTATTTTGGTATTTTTAGTAGAGATGGGGTTTCACCATGTTGGCCAGGCTGGTCTCAAACTCCTGACCTCAGGTGATCCACCTGCCTTGGCCTCCCAAAGTGCTGGGATGACTAACATGAGCCACCATGCCCAGCCTATATTACATTTTTCTATGCATCTGGATCCTGTTTCCCATTAGACAGGGCAAAGGCAGAAATAATTTCTTACCATCTTTGTTTCTAGGGGCCCTAGTATATAGCAAATACTCTGAAACTCTGTAGAATAAACATGTGCATTCATGTGCAAAAGAACTCTGCTTACACAGCACCAGAGCTGGTGAAGATCTGAAAGAATTCTACACATATGTGGGTAACTGGACTAGCTGGCTTTGATTTCTTTCAACATACATATCCCCAACATAGTTACTTAACAGTGAAACAGAGAACTCAACCATGTTCCACTGAAGGATACAAACGGCATTCTCTGAAAGGGGGCAAACAGCAATGTGAAATTCCCATCACAGCACCTTTGCTTTTCCCTCTTTTAAACACAGAAAGTTTTGCTTGGAAAGGAGAAAGCCTCCATTGCTAAAACTTTAACTTTTGACACTGTCATAGTCTATTCATAGTCTGTTTTGCATTGCTAAAACAGACTACCACAGACTGGATAATTTATGAAGAAATTTATGAAGGGGGGGCGTTCAAGAATGAGGGGCTGGTGTCTGATGGGGGCCTTTTTGCTGTGTCATAACATGGCAGAGGCCATCAAAGGGCAAGAGGGCAAGAGCAAGCCAGCTCAGGTCTTTCTTCCTCTTTTATTTATTTTTTTTTTTTTGAGACAGAGTCTCACTCTGTTGTCCAGGCTGGAGTGCAATGGTGCAATCTCGACTCACTGCAACTTCTGCCTCTGGGTTCAAGCAGTTCTCCTGCCTCAAACTCTCAAGTAGCTGGAATTACAGGTGCCCGCCGCCATGCCCAGCTAATTTTTTGTATTTTTAGTAGAGATGGGGTTCCACCGTGTTCCCCAGGCTGGTTGAGAACTCTTGAGCTCAGGCAATCCACCTACCTCGGCCTCCCAAAGTGCTAGGATTACAGGCGTGAGCCACTGCGCCTGGCCTCTCTTCCTGTTTTAAGCTACCAGTCCCATTATGGGGGCCCCACCCTGATGACCATATCCAATCCTAATTACCTCCCAAAAGTCCTACCTCTCATCAACACATGAACTTGGGGATTAAGTTAACAGATGAAATACAGAGGACACATTCTAATCATAGCAGACATGATCATGCTAACTTTCCCAATATAGGCATCTAAAAGTACAGAGACCATCTTTTATATTTCTCTGTATTTTCCACAACATTTAGCACAGTCTTATGTATTCAGCAAGAACTCAATTCAACAAATAGTCGACACTTCAATGATTATATAAAAATGCAAGGGCTGCACATATTAGTCAAAGTAACACAAAATCTAGATAAAAGTAAATTGAACTTTTTTTTCCATAATGAAAAAAGTATATCTAAAAAAAAGTATTCAGCAGACTCAGGCTTTTAACTCTTATCTACTTTTTCTATAAAATTATACTTTTCAAGTTTACCAAAAATTTATATTATTAATATATTTTAGCATATAATATATAATACATATATTTTTATAAGCTTAGAAAGTACAATAAAGGCAGTGACAATCTAGATAGAAACTTTCCAATTACAAACACTAGAAATAATATCCATGTCTTTATTTATTTATATTTATGTATTGTTTTGAGATGGAGTCTCGCTCTGTCACCCAGGCTAGAGTGTAGTGGTGTGAGCTTGGCTTACTGCAACCTCCACCTCCCAGGTTCAAGTGATTCTCCTGCCTGAGCCTCCTAAGTAGCTGGGACTACAGGTGTATACCCACAACCAGCTTATTTTTTGCAGAGACAGGGTTTCACTATGTTGGCCCATGCTGGTCTCAATCTCCAGAACTCAAGTGATCCTCTTGCATGAGCCTCCCAAAGTGCTGGGATTACAGGCATGACGCACCACGCCTGGCTAATATTCACGTCTTTAAACTACCTAGTAAGTATCTTACTTTTGACCAGACAAAACCTTGGTTTTTTTTTTTTTTTTTTTGAGGCGGAGTTTCACTGTTGTTACCCAGAATGGAGTGCAATGGTGCGATCTTGGCTCACCACAACCTCCACCTCCTGGGTTCAGGCAATTCTCCTGCCTCAGCCTCCTGAGTAGCTGAGATTACAGGCACGCACTACCATGCCAATTTTTTGTATTTTTAGTAGAGACGGGGTTTCACCATGTTGACCAGGATGGTCTCGATCTCTTGACCTTGTGATCTACTCGCCTTGGCCTCCCAAAGTGCTGGGATTACAGGCTTGAGCCACCGCGCCCGGCCAAAACCTTGGTTTTTATGAGCTCCAGGACATCTGTCTCTGAAACATGTTGCTGCCCATTTTCATTATAACTGCAACTGGAAAGTACTTCATCTAGTTAAATGACCTTTTCTCTTCCCCTCTTCCTAAAAGAGACTACATTGTATAAAATTTGAGGCAGAAACAAACATTAGCTTCCAATAACAAAGAATAATTCAACTTTATTAGTAGGAAATTTTTGAGATAATTTATATTTGTGACCCAGATGCATGATTTTCAAATGTGAAAGACGTTCAGCACAAGCATACGATCATTTAGTAAAACTCTGCATTAAGAGACCCCGAGAAAAGCAAGAGGCAGTTTCTCTTTTTGGTGGAGCGAGAAGACACTACAACTTCACTGACCATTTCCTTGCAGGAGTTTATTCCGAGTTCCTTTTGTCCGGTTCTTCCTCCTCAAACTCGACTAATGGAGTGTGTCTGCTGGCCTGAGCACCTTCTCTGTAGAACACTTTCTTTACTGTACCATCCTTTGGAGCCTTTATGGTATGCTGCAGAGACACAAAACAGGACACATGATAGCTGCAATACTAATGAGGACCGAGTCTGTACAGTCACGAAAGGGAGACCAAAAACGAAAACTGTGGCCAACCGTGATGCTGCCTGTCTCTCAGTGCCTTCTAAGGCCCTGTTGTTCTTGTTGTTTTCAACATCACAGCACACAGGGAGAAGGGTGACAGATTGAGAGGAATCCACACTCAGACACACCAGTACCCATTCAAGGACATGACTGGGGAGCTCTGGTGTAGCTAGCAGTGCTCGAGCATCACATTAGAATTCTACCTAGGAAGCTTTCATGTTTGTTTTTTTTTTTAATTGAGACAGATTCTCACTCTATCACCCATGCTGGAGTGCAGTGGCACAATCTCAGCTCACTGCAACCTCTGCTTCCCAGGTTCAAGTGATTCTCCTCCCTCAGCCTCCAGAGTAGCTGGGATTACAGGCATGCGCCACCACACCTGGCTAATTTTTGTATTTTTAATATAGATGAGGTCTCACCATATTGGCCAAGCTGGTCATTAACTCCTGACCTCAAATGATCCGCCTGCCTTGGCCTCCCAAAGCACTGGGATTCCAGGTGAGCTACTGTGCCCAGCCTTTCAAAAGTACTGATCCTTGGACCCAAATCCTGGAGATCACAATTCAACTGGTCTGGGGAAGCAGTTTTTAAAATCTCCCCAGCTGACTGTACACATGCTCCTTGACTTATAACGGGGTCAGGTCCAGATAAATCCAGTGTAAGTTAAGGAGCATACTCAACGTGGATAGCTTTTGCACCAGTATCAAGCTGAAAAGTCCTTAACTGAACCACTGGAAATTGAGGACTGTCTGCAATATTCAGCCAGGGCTAAGAATCACTGACTTACCATTTGAACCATCTAAAAACCTAAACAGCAAATTTAACTTGATTGAGGTTTTCACTTTGAAACTAACGCCTGGCATCCTTGGTTCAGCCTTAGAAAACACTAACAGTTAACATTCAGTTGGGTTACTGCCTGATTCCAAGCTGTCAATAATTTCAAAATCAGAAATGACAGGTGCAATTTCACAAAATTAAAATAAAAATCATTTCACAAGAAGGATAGTTTGGTTTTATTTCCTACAATTAATGCTTCATCAGTCTATGGCTCTTCATAACTAAAGGGGTATTAACTTACAGAATAAGGCAAAAGAACAATTAGGTCTGATCACTCCCAAAGTCCTTTTAGCAAGTGAACTCATGACTTCACTTACCTCCATCTTCATGGCGATCATAACCATTAGGGAATCTCCAGCTTTCACTTTGTCTCCAGCTTTGACAAACACCTTGAGAGTCAGTGTGACAGGTCAATATTTGACAACACAGAGGTCCTAGATATGTTAATCGGCTTCATTATAGTAACCATTTTACTGTATATATGTACTCATAACATCGTGTTGTAAACCATGAATATGCAAAATAAAATATCAATTAAAAGAAAGAAAACAACACAGAGGTCCTTTGCGGCCCATAGAGTTGGTCTATCAACTTGCAGAGCTGAGTAGAGTCTATGTGGTTGTGTTATCTGCCAAAGACAAATGTACTGGTCACATCAGAGACCTACAGGTCAATCTGGCACTGCCGGCACTGTGATCGGTGGGCAGCACTGCTTAGTTCCCTGTCCCCACCCCCACGACCACTTAGTTTTGCTTGAATCACATGAATATACTCCATATATTCTGATATCCTTTCATATTTTTCAAGAATGTACAAACACAACACATTGCCAATAGGGAAGGGGTCGTCTAGGACCAAGTGTAGTAAGTGTGTCTGAACTCTTCAGAGACCTGTGTTGTAAATGTGAAGGTAGTCTTCATGCAACAGAATTAAACTTATTAGCAACCCCAGAAAGAAATTTCTGTTTTCCTTTGTATACATATACGTGGACTCATATATCCTACATGGTCTCACTTCTGTTTTGTTCACATGGTTACTAAGTGTGAGACTCAGAGAGCTGTGCAGAGATGCCGACATTATGAGAGGCCTGCGGGGACTGAAATCCACTGAGCTAAAGGCAGATCCAGGTCTCCCAGCTCAGACTCACTTGCAGGTAAATATTTTCAAAGGAGAATGGTGGCTCAAATCACCCACACTATTTAAGTCGTTATTTTCTTCTTTATTTTGTTGTTCCAAGAGTATACAATTGAGTTTTTATGACTGAAACATATTGGAGGAGACGCTACTGTATTCAAATATATAAAAAGGAGGCTACGGATACTGATCTATCACATTTGATGTATGTGCCAGGGTCTAAATGTCTATATCCTCCCAGGGTTCATTTGTTGAGATCTTGACCTCCAGGATGATGGTATTTGGAGGTGGGGCCTTTAGCAGGTGATTAGGTCATGAGGGCTCTGCCCTCATGCATGAGATTTGTGCCCTTATGAAAGAGGCCTGAAGAGAGGTCCTGTGCCCATTCCACCACATGACCACACAGAGAAAAAAATGCTGTTTAAGAAATCACTAAGTAGACTCTCACCAGATATCTCATCTGCTGGTGCTTTAATGGATTTCCCAATCTCCAGAATCATGAGAAATAAATTTCTATTGTTTAAAAGCCACCCAGTCTATGGTATTCCATGATAGCAGCCTGAACTGACTCAGACAGTATGGACTGCAACTCTGAATTATATATTGCATTCAACACCAAACCACATTGTTCTTCACCATATCAGCCTTTTAAACACATTGAACATTTAACACAGATGCAACTATGTACACTAAAGAAAATGTCATTATTTCATGAAAAATTTGCTGCTATTAAACTTTCAAAACCAGTTTTTTGAATAATGCTTAATGAAGGCTCAGTTTTAATCATAAAAAGACAATCTAGATTATTTGTACTTTGATGCAAATTCCTGCCTTCAAAAACAGCAATACTTATCATAAATTAGGTAAATGGGTATTTTCACTGAAGACTGTAACACAAAACTTGAATCTGTAATAGATCCTCTTGTTTTTTTGAAGTGGATGCTTGTAAAGCTTGCCCATGAGCAAGGTTTACAAAGGGAAAAGGACATAAATGACAAAGTTCACAAAGCCTTTTATTAAAGCTTACTGAACATCATTCTACAGATGTCATGTGATTACCTTTTCAATGGTTCCAGTCATAGGAGCTAAGGGGCCTCCCTGAGTTCCTTCTGAGCCCACAGAAGATAAGTATTTGGGGACTGGAATGTCAATTTCAATATTTCCTTCCTAGAAATAGAAAACAAACTGAAAATGGAATCAAGATCCTATCGCTGTATTTTTACTAATATACCTGAGGTAATAACTGTTTCCCAGCTATCTGTTCAATATGAGTCATCTTGACCAGGCACAGTGGCTTGCGCTTGTAATCCTAGCACTTTAGGAGGCCAAAGCAGGCAGATAGCTTGAGCCCAGGAGTTCGAGACCAGCCTGGGTAACAGAGCAAAACCTCATCTTTACAAAAAATACAAAAATCAGCCTAGTGTGGTGATACACGCCTATAGCTCCAGCTACTCAGGAGCTGAGGCAGGAGGATCATTTAAGCCTGGGAGGTAGAGGCTGCAGAGAGCCAAGATGGTGCCACTGCACTCCAGGTGGGTGAAAGAACAAGACTCTGACTCAAAAAAAAAAAAGAAAAAAAATTCGTCACCATTATACCAGTGTTCTACTCTAGCTTTATGACTAGAGCAAATTATTAAATCCCTCTCAGCCTTGGTCTCCCACTGTAAAGGGGTAATGGTATACTTGTCTCACAGTGTATTAAAAGAATCAGTGCCAGGCCTGGTGGCTCACGCCTCTAATCCCAGCACTTTGGGAGGCCCAGGTGGGTGGATCACCTGAGGTTAGGAGTTCTAGAACAGCCTGGCCAACATAGTGAAACCCCATCTCTACTAAAAACACAAAAATTAGCCAGGCAGTGGTATGTGCCTGTAATCCCAGCTACTCGGGAGGCTGAGACAGGTGAATAGCTTGAACCCAGGAGGTGGAGGTTGCAGTGAGCTGAGATCATGCCACTGCACTCCAGCCTGGGCAACAGAGCAAGACTCCATCTCATAAAAAATAAAATAAAATAAAAATAAAGCATTACCTGTAGACAACAAGTAGCCACTGACTGGAAGCCATTTTCAGTAGCATCCCTACTCTCAGCTGCTCAGTATGCTAGGCACTATTTTCAACACACATGTCATTAATCATCATAACAACACTATAAGGAAGGGACTGTGATTGTTACTATTATTATTATTTTTGAGATGTAGTCTCATTCTGTTGCCCATGCTGGATGGTGCAATCTCAGCTCACTGCAACCTCCGCCTCCCAGGTTCAAGCAATTCTCTTGCCTCGCCCTCTTGCGTAGCTGGGACTACAGGCATATGCCACAACCCAGCTAATTTTTGTATTTTTAGTAGAGACAGGATTTCACCGTGTTAGCCAGGATGGTCTTGATCTCCTGAACTTGTGATCTGCCTGCCTCAACCTTCCAAAGTGCTGGGATTCGGTGGATTGCTCAGAATCCGGTGCTGGGAATCAACAACTTGGACGTCCACTCAGAGACCTAATTGAAAGTTGGTAATTACAAAGACGACAGGTGGATAAATTTACAATAATGGGAAGAAACCAGTGTAAAAAGGCTGAGAACACCCAAAATCAGAATGCCTCTCCCTCTACAGGGGATCACAGTTCCTCATCAACAAGGAACAAAGTGCATTCCAATAACAGAATTAGGCTTCAAAAAGTGGATAATAAGAAACTTCTGTGAATTAAAAGAACATGTTCTAGCCCAATGTAAAGAAACTAAGAACCTTGAAAAAAGGTTTGACGAAATCCTAACAAGAACAGACAATCTAGAGAGGAATGTAAGTGAATTAATAAAACTGAAGAATACAATACAAGAACTCCGAGAAGTATGCACAGGTTTTAACAGTCGAATTGATCAAGCAGAAGAAAGGATATCAGAGGTTGAAGACCAACTTAATGAAATGAAACTAGAAAACAAGATTAGAGAAGAAAGAGTAAAAAGGAATGAGCAAAGTCTCCAAGAAATATGGGCCTATGTGAAAAGACCTAATTTACGTTTGATAGGTGTTCCTGAATGTCATGAAGAGAATCAATCCAAGCTGGAAAATATTCTTCAGGATATTATTCAGGAAAACTTTCCCAACCTAGTAAGGCAGGACAATACTCAACTCCAGGTAATACAGAGACCACCACAAAGATATTCCTCAAGTAGAGCAACCCCAAGACACATAATCGCTAGATTCACCAGGGTTGAAATAAAGGAGAAAATTCTAAGGGCAGCTAGAGAGAAAGGTCAGATTACCCATAAAGGGAAGGCTATCAGACTCACAGCAGATCTCTCAGCTGAAACCCTACAAACTAGAAGAGAGTGGGGGTCAATGTTCAATATCCTAAAAGAAAAGAATTTTCAAGCCAGAATCTCATATCCAGCCAAACTAAGCTTCATAAATGAATGAAAAATAAAATTTTTCACGAACGAGCAAGATCTCAGAGATTTCATCACCACCAGGCTTGCTTTACAAGAGCTTCTGAAAGAAGCACTATACACAGAAAGGAACAACCAGTATCAGTTATCCCCAAAACTTACCAAAAGGGAAAGAGTATCTCCATAATGAAGAATCTATATCAACTAATGGGCAAAATAGCCAGCTAGCATTAAACGACAATATTAAACGCACAAATATCAATATTAATCCTAAATTTAAATGGATTAAATGCCCCAATCAAAGACACAGACAGGAAAATTGAATAAAAAGTCAAAACCCATCGGTATGCTGTATCCAGATCCATCTCATAAGCAAGGATGCACAAAGACTCAAAACAAAGGGTTGGAGGAAGACTCACCAATCAAATGGAGAGCAAAAAAAAAAAAAAAAAAAAACAGGAGTTGTAACTTTCATCTCTGACAAAACAGACTTTAATAGTAACAAAGACTAAAAGAAACAAAGAAGGACATTACATAAAGGTAAAAGGATCAATGCAACAACAGGAGTCAATGATCATAAATATATATGCACCCAATACAGGAACACCCAGATACATAAGACAAGTTCTTAATGACTTATAAAGAGACTTGGACTCCCTCACAATAATAGCAGGAGACTCTGACACCACACTGTTAATATTCGATGGATCAACGAGATAGAAAATTAACAGGGACATCTATGATTTGAACTCAAACCTGGAACAAGAAAACTTAGTGAATATTTATAGAATTCTTCACCCCAGGTCCACAGAACATACATTTTGCTCAGTATCACATTACACCTATTTTGAAAGTGACCACATAATGGAAGTAAATCACTCTTCAGCATTTGCATAGCATTTTACAGACTTAAATGAAATACTGGTTGGCTGTTTGTTATTTTCTTCCCTTATTCCTTCCTGTCTCTGCTGTTAAGCATAACTATCAATATAAAAGAGGTTTTTAACACCTATTTTTAGATTGCATTTCAGCCTGGGCAATAGAGCAAGACTCCTGTTCTCTCTCCCCTTTCTCTTTCTTTCTTTCAAAGTGCTGGGATTACAGGCATGAGCCATCGCCTTATTATTATTTTTTAGAGGCAGGGTCTTGCTCTGCCACCTAGGCTGCAGTACAGTGGCACAATCATAGCTCACTGCAACCTTGAACTCCTGAGCCCATGCAATCCTCCTGCATTAGCTTCCTGGGTAGCTAGGATTACAGGAACACACCACTATGTCTGGCTAATGTTTAAAATTTTCTGCAGAGATGGAGTCTTGCTATGTTGCCAGATGGGTCTCAAACTTCTGGTCTCAATCTGCCTGCCTTGGCTTCCCAAAGTATTGGGACTCCAGACACAAGCCACTGCACCTGTTGTTACTGCTGTTGCTATTACTGCTGTTATGATTACCGTTTAGAGATAGGAGAACTAAAGCCCAGGTGGGTTAACAGCCCAAGGTCACACAGCTGCTAAGTGGCAAGGCCACAGCAGCTGCACACTTGAGAACTGTGCTCTTTGCCATTCCATTATACTTCCTCTATCATCGTTATTACTACAGCATCACTGGCGATGGAAAGGAGTGCCTGGCACAGTGAGATCATCCTCAACGCCACATATAGTAGTTTAATTACTAGGATGCTAAAGGAATCTCATCACAAAGCACTGTGAGGCCACAATATATCTGAAAATCCATTATCCTCCTTCTGCCCAGGCAGCAGGCTCTTAACCAAATCCATGCAAAGCCTGCCTTGACTATCTTTTGACTGTGCAGAGACCACCACTCATGCCATCCCCCTTCCCTCTGTCCACCTTCCCCACAAGGAACATCTGGTCCACAGACCCCTCTCCCAGTGGTCACCTCCTCCAAAATCACCAGGATTCCAGCTGTCAGGAGGATGGTGGGTGGGAAAAAGTGTTCAGGCATCAAAGCCCTGAGATAATACCACCCACGGAGCAGGGAAATACTCTCTGACAAACAAAGTATAAGGATTTGTTTCTGAATTCAGGAAGAAAATGGATATGTATATCAATGAGCATCTGTGTGAACAAGAGAAGTGAATGGGAAACTGGAGAGGGCAGGAATTTGGCAAAGAAACACAGAATGGCAAGGAAACAGAGAGAAAAAGGTTGCAGCAGTGCTCGAAGGAAGCTGGATCTTCCTAATCTCTTTCAGTGAAATGTCTCTGGTCAAACAGTTTTCTCCCATGCCCCAGGACTGATGCTATAAAAAAAGAGACAGTACCTTGGAAAATAGGTAAAGAGTGTTTTCCAGGATAATCAGCTTAACCGTACTAGCAACTCCATTAACAGAACATTTCAGGTAAGTGCAGTCTCCCTTGCTGTAAATATCACCAAGGACTTGAAAAGTTTTATCTTCAATCTGAAAAAAATGAAAAATAAGATCTTTAAATAAATGGAAAACCTACAGAATTAATAAGATCAGAACCAATTCTTCACTATTAGTAGTTTTAAAACATAAAATATGTCTTAAACATATAAAATATTGTTTTAAAAAAGTCATGAAACGTTCCCCTATTCCTAACCAAGATATTTTATACAGAAATAACAGGAAGATGATTAAAAGGAAAAAAAGTTATCTAGCATATCCATAGCACCATAATGCTATAGATAAAGGTTCATTTAAACATATAAAGATAGCACTAAAAATAAGAAATAAAAATACAAATCGGCCGGGCGTGGTGGCTCACACCTGTAATCCCAGCACTTTGGGAGGCCAAGGCAGGCAGATCATCTGAGGTCAGGAGTTCGAGACCAGCTTTACCAACATGGGGAAACCCGGTCTCTACTAAAAATACAAAATTAGCCGGGCCTGGTGGCGCATTCCTGTAAACCCAGATACTCAGGAGGCTGAGGCAGGAGAATCGCTTGAACCCGGGAGGCAGAGGTTGCAGTGAGCCAAGATCGCGCCATTGCACTCCAGCCTGGGTGACACAGCAAAGCTCCATCTCAAAAAACAAAAACCAAAAAAACAAGCTATGCAAAATTATTAAAATTTATTTGCATATATATTACATGTTTGTAATATAAACTCATTTCTGAGCATCTGAAGTTTTCCTGTGCCAGTCAGTCACCAAAAAAAAGCCAGAACCATATAATTAGATGATATTTCTTGTATGTCATCAACACATAGGTCCAATTCATGAGTTTCAGTTATGATTTAAGAACATAAATTAGCTGGAGATTGGCCACAATTTTCTCACTCTGAGAGACCACATACCAAAGAACAAAGTTCACAATGTTTCAAGGAACCTGATAAAAAGACATGAAAACTTTCTGTTTAAAAATTTCCCTTAGGCAAAAAGTCCATTTAAATTTTCTCCCTCTAGTCTTCGTTTCAATTCCCATAATGCTAGTGTAGAAGTCACATGGCTATTCTTTTCAAATATATTACATAGGCTAAGGTGAAATAGGTCACCCTGCAATATTTATACACTGGTTCTCATCTATCCTAAGTTAAATATGACATTTTACTACACTTTGTAACCTACTAAAACAGCCATTTGAATGTTTGTGAAATTCTTAGGACATAAAGGTTAAAATGGAAACAGTTTTGTTTAGAGATTCACGAAAACACATTTTGAAATTGTAAATGTAGTTCCACGAGCAGATTAGAACAAACTGGCAATCTACTTTACCAGCTACCAAGGGACAAGAAATCATCTCAAACAAACCAGAGGCATTAATATGAATTGTAATCCTCATACCCAAATAGGCAGACATCCCATGGATTTTTTGAATCTCAGAGAAAGAAAATCAATGTGTCTCAAAATGCTGGGAGGTCTAACATGTACACTGATAAATCTGTTCTGCAGGATTTGAAATCTCTTAGCTCATTAAAAATGATTTATTCTATTCCCTAAACTTGTACCTTACTATAGGAATTTGATTGAATTTCCACTTTTTTTTTCTTTGACTATTTAAGCCTTCCATTTTGTCAATGTAATGGTCTTCTTTCAATTAAGGACTATCATAAACTTTATACTAGAGATTCTTAAAATATGACCTGTGTGTTCCTTGGGGTCCCTAATACCTTTTTTAGAGTATCCATAAAGTCATAAAAAGAGTAAGAAGGCTGGGCGTAGTGGCTTATGCCTATAATCCCAGCACTCTGGGAGGCCGAGGTGGGCAGATCACCTGAGGTTGGGAGTTCGAGACCAGCCTGACCAACATGGTGAAACCCTGTCTCTACTAAAAATACAAAATTAGCCAGGTGTGGTGGAACATGCCTGTAATCCCATCTACTCAGAAGGCTGAGGCAGGAGAACGGCTTGAGCTCGAGAGGCAGAGGTTGTGGTGAGCTCAGATGGCGCCATTGCACTCCAGCCTGAGCAATGAAAGCGAAACTGTGTCTCAAAAAAAAAAAAAGACTAAGATATTATTTGTTTTTTGTACGCTCATTCTCTCATAATACACAATGGAATTTTCCAGAGGCTACTGAATGTGTGATAATGTTATCACTCTGATGGCTAATGAAATGTGTACTTGTTATTAGGTTTTAAATTTTTTTTCAATTTATCCTACAACTCAACAACAACAACAAAACAACTACATTAAGAAACGGGCAGAAATGGCCAGTAAAAACATAAAAAAAGATGCTCAGCATCATCCATCGTTACGGAAGTGCACGTCGAAGTCAGTGAGGTAGTACTACTTCACACCCATTCGGACTGCTATTATAAAACAAAAATCCAAAAACAAAACCCCAGAAAATAGTAGTGGCAAGGATATGAAGAGGCTGGAACCATTGTTCACTGCTGACGGGACTGTAAACTGGTGCCGCTGCTATGGAAAACAGTATGGCGGTTTTGTAAAAAATCAGAATTACCATATGATCCAGCAATTCCACTTCTGGATATATACCCAGAAGGATAAATAACAGGGTGTTCAAGAAGTATTTGTACACTCCTGTTCATAGCAACATTATTCACAATAGCTGAAAGCTAGAAACAACCTGAATGTTCATTACTGGCTGAATGGATAAAGAATATATGGTACATCTACACAACAGAGTATTTTACAGCCTTAAAAAAAAGGAAATTCTCATATACACTACATCATGGAAGACACTCTGCCAAGTGAAGTAAGCCAGTTACAAAAGGACAAATGCTACATTATTTTACTTCTATCAGGTACCTACAAGAGTCAATTCAGAGAGACAGTAGAATTGTGGTTCTCAGGGGATGGGGGAAGAAGGAATGGAGTGTTACTGTTTAATCAATGAGTATAGAATTTTAGTTTCACAAGAAGAAAGTTCTGGAGATGGATGGTTGTAATGGTTACATAACAACTTGAATGCACTGAATGTAAATGGTTAAAATGATAAATTTTATATTATGTGTATTTTACCACAATTAAAAAATAATAAAAAATTAAATTTTCTCAGTTAAATAGTCTAAACGGTAGATAACAAGAAATATAAAACACAAACCAAACAGCTCTGTTGAGTATTTTTAAGAGGGTACAGGGTTCCTGAGACAAACAATTTGAGAACTGCTGCTTTGGATGTAAATACATGCACATACTTTAGGGGCCTGTGAATGTCTGATTCGAGCTTTTACTTTTTGCCAAGTTTTTATTCTTAAGGGAACCAGAGCCCAATCGAATAAGCAATCAGTTAGAAACTGTATAGGGGGTAATTTCCCCAAATTCGGTCTGAAATAAAGGCATAAGATATTCTCCTGACTGCAGTCATAATAGTCAAAGGCTTAAGAGAAACCAGAGAGTGAAAAAAGACCCTATTCAGTATAAAAGAGATCAGATTCAGCTCTGCACTGCAGAACAAAACCAGCAAGGCTTACCTGCATGTTGTAAGACCCATCATGGTTATATGTTACAGCGATGGCTATATCTTCAAAAAAGAGAAAAAATAAAGAAAAATTAGGAAACATTTATTTAATAACTGAGATATAAAGAATCTCACTCAACCTAAAGACAACCAACTAACTAGTACCAATAAAGATGAATTTCAAACTTTTCTTTTTTAAAACAGAATTTCAGGGTTTTTTTTTGTTTGTTTGTTTTTAAGACAGGGTCTCACTCTGTCACCCTGATTGGAGTGCAATGGCACGATCATGGCTCACCACAGCCTTAAACCTGCTGGGGTCAGGTGATCCCCTCACCTCAGCCTCCCAAGGAGCTGGGACTACAGATGTGCCACCGTGCTTGGCTGGTTTTTTTATTTTTTTGTAGAGATGAGGTTTGCCATGTTGCCCAGGCTGGTCTTGAACTCCTGGACTCAAATGAGCCATCTGCCTAGGCCTCTCAAAGTGCTGGAATGACAGGCATGAGTCACTGCATCTGGCCTTGGGTTTTAGATATTTTAAGGTTGTAGAATGTTTTACATATTCTTCCCTCAACAAAAAGATTGCAGTATTATAACTTTGAAAATACAGGTTGGGCGCAGTGGCTCATGCTTGTAATCCCAGCACTTTGGGAGGCTGAGGCAGGTGGATCACGAGGTCAGGAGTTTGAGACCAGCCAGACCAATATGGTGAAACTCCATCTCTACTAAAAATACAAAAATTAGCTGGGTGTGGTGGCATGTGCCTGTAATCCCAGCTAATCGGGAGGCTGAGGCAGGAGAACCCCTTGAACCTGGGCAGTGGAGGCTGCAGTGAGCTGAGATCATGCCACCGCACTCCAGCCTGAGCAACAGAGTGAGAGACTCCATCTCAAAAAAAAAAAAAAAAAGGCAATGAACTGGTAAAGAGAAGTTTTAGTTCAGACTAGAATCTGCCACCTGATCATCTCTGTCATTTTGACTCATTAAATCTCTGGCCTTGATTTTCTGAGCCATTAAATGGGTATAAAAATAAAACAATTACTAAATGAATGTGAAAGTGCTTTATGAATGGTAAGACTACATACACCTAATAAATTATTCATGTTACAGGCACATCTCACTTTATTGCCCTCTGCAGATACTATGTTTTTTACACATTGAGTTTATGGCAACACCATGTCAAGCATATTCTTCCAACAGCATGTGTTCACTTTATGTCTCTGTGTCACATTTTTGTCATTCTTACTATTTAAAACTTTTTTCTTTTTTGAGATGGAAGCTCACTCGGTTACCCAGGCTGGAAGTGCAGTGGTCAATCTTGGCTCACTGCAACCTCCGCCTCCTGGGTTCAACTGAATCCCCTGCCCCAGCTTCCTGAGTAGCTGGAATTACAGGTGTGCACCACCACGCCCAGCTAAGTATTTTTAGTTACAGACAGCGTTTCACCATGTTGGTCAGGCTGGTCTTGAACTCCTGACTTCATGATCCATCTGCTTTGGCCTCCCAAAGTGCTGGGATTACAGGAGTGAGCCACCACACCTGGCCTAAAACTTTTAAATTATTGTTATCTGTTATGGTGATCTGTGATCTTTGATATTACTACTTTAATTGCTTTACAGTGCCTCAATCCATACCCATGTGAGATAGTGAACTTCCTCAATGAATACTGTGTGTGTTCTTCCTGCTCCACTGACCAGTCATTCCCGTCTCTCTCCCTCTCTATGGGTCTCCTTATTCCCTGCGACAATATGATATTGAAATTAAGCTAATTAATAACCCTACAATGGCCTATAAGTGGTCAAATGAAGAGAAGAGTTACATGTCTCCCACTTTAAATCAAAAGCTAGAAATCATTAAGCTTAGTGAGGAAGGCACGTTAAAAGCTGAGATAAGTCAAAAGCTAGGCTTCTAGTCCCAAACTGCCAAGTTGTGAATGCAAAGGAAAAGTTCTTGAAGGAAGTTAAAAGTGCTACTCCAGTAAACACATGAACAGTAAGGTGAAGTAGCTGGGCGGGAGCAGTGACTCATGCCTGTAATCCCAGTGCTCTGGGAGGCCAAAGCAGGCCTGCTTGAGCCTGGGAGTTTGAGACCAATCTGGGCAACATACCAAGACCCCATCTCTAAAATAATGATGATGATGATAATAAATACAGTGAAACAGGCTTGTTGCTGATACGGACAGAGTTTTAGTGGTCTGGATAGAAGGTCAAACCAGCCACAACGTTCCCTTAAGCCAAAGCCAATCCAGAGAAAGGCCCTAACTCTTTTCGATTCAAGTAAGGCCAAGAGAAGTGAGGAAGCTGTAGAAAAAATATTTGAAGACAGCAGAGGCTGGTTTATGAGGTTTAAGGAAAGAAGCCATCTCCCTAACACACAGAGAAAGATAAAGCAGAAAGTATTGATGGAGGAGCTGCAGCAAGTTATCCAGGAAATCTAGCTAAGAAAATTGATAAATGTGGCTACAAAAAAAACAGACTTTTTTAGTGGAGACAAAACAGTCTTCTATTGGAAGAAGATGCCATTTAGGACTTTCAAAGCTAGAGAGGAAAAGTCAATACCTGGTTTCAAAGCTTCAAACGACAGACAGACTCTCTTGCTAGGGTTTAATGCAACCAGTGACTTTAAGTTGAATTAAATGCTCATTTACCATTCTGAAAATCCTAGGGCCTTTAAGAATGATGCTAAATTTGCCTGTGCCCTATAAATGGAACAACAAAACCTGGATGATAGCACTTATTATGCCACGGTTTACTGAATATTTTAAGCCTATTGTTGAGATCTACTCAATAGTGCTCAGATAAAAAATTCCTTTCGAAACATTATCACTCAGTGACAATGCACACAGTCACCATCCAAGAGCGCTGATGGAGATGTACAAGGAGATTAATGTTTTCACACCTGCTAACACAACATCCTTTCTGCAGCCCATGGATCAAGGAGTAATTTCAACTTTCATGTCTTATTAAGAAATATATTTTGTAAGGCAATTGCTGCCATAGATAGTGAGTCTTCTGATGGATCTCGGCAAAGTAAATTGAAAATCTTTTAGATGCCATTAAGAACATTTGTGATTCATGGAACAAGGTCAAATTATTAACATTAACAGGAGTTTGGAAGAAGTTAATGACTCACAGATGACTTTTAGGGGTTCAAAACTCTAGCAGAGGAAGTAACTGCAGGTGGTAGAAATAGCAAGGGATCTAGGATTGGAAGTAGAGCTTGAAGATGTGACTGGATTGTTGCATCTCAACAGCACTGCACACTGCAGAGAAATCTTTCATGAAAGGAAGAGTCAGCTGATGCAGCAAACCTCCTTGGTGTCTTATTTTACACAAATTGCTACTCACCCCAATCTTCAGCAACCACCACACTAAGTCAATCATAGCCATTAACACTGAGGCAAGACCCTTCGCCAGCAACAAGATTACAACTCACTGGAGGCTTAGATCAACATTAGCTTTTTTTTTTTTTTTTAGCCATAAAGCATTTCTAAATTAAGGTATATATATTGTTTGTTTAGACGTAATGTTATTGACATACAATAAACTACAATAAACAGAAATTTTTTTTTTTTGAGATCGAGTCTCACTCTGTCACCTAGGCTGGAGTGCAGTGGCGATGATCTCAGCTCACTGCAACCCCTGCCTCCCAGGTTCAAGCAATTCTGCCTCAGCCTCCTAAGTAGCTGGGATTATAGGCGTGTGCCACCATGTTCAGCTAATTTTTCTATTTTCAGTAGAGACAGGGTTTCACCACATTGGTCAAACTAGTCTCAAACTCCTGACCTCCTGATCTGCCCGTCTCAGCCTCCCAAAGTGCTGGGATTACAGGTGTAAGCCACCATGCCAGGCCTATAAACATAATTTTCGTATGCACGAGGAAACCAAAACCTTTGTTTGGCTTACTTTATTGCAGTGGTCTGGAAGCAAACCTGCAATAACTCCAGAGTAGGCCCAGATTACATTAGTATGGAACTGGTTGACTATCCAAGGAGACGAAAATCTAAAGTTTTGTGGGGTACAGTACATAGGTAAAAATCGATTTGTCTGCTTCTGATACTTCAACGATCATTTTGATGCTGCCAGTTCAAATCTGTTTCCAGCCCTAGCCTTCCTTCTCCAGGTGACCTCTGATTACTCATTCCCAGCTGGATCTTCCACAGGTGACTTCAGAGGAACATGGTGGGGCCAACAAATCATCTTCTCCTCCAGACCTGTGAGCTCCCTGACAGGCACCCCTATGCTCCTTGTCTTCCAGGCTTAAAGTCGTCCTTGCCTCGTCATTCTTTGCTTTCCACACGCAACAGTTACTACAAACCTGCCAAATTCTTCCCTTAAATACCTGTCCTATGCACCTCTCCTTCCATTCCTACCACTCTCCCCTGCCTCAGGCCCCACTGCCTCAGGCCTGGCTGATCTGAGGAAGTCCTCTGGGATCTTCCGGCTTCTCATCTCAATACTCAGAGCTAATGTCCTGACCCCATTCCAAATACTTGGCCTGATACTGAAGGTCCCAACCTCTCAGTCTTATTTCCTACCATTCTCCTCCATGGATGGCCTGATGCTCCAACCAAATGTGAAAATGGGACAATTAACATTCCCGCAGTGGCTCACGCCTGTAATCCCAGTACTTTGGGAGGCCGCGGCAGGCAGATTGCCTGAGGTCAGAGTTTGAGACCAGCCTGGCCAACACAGCGAAACCCCCTCTCTACTAAAAATACAAAAATTAGCTGGGCGTGGTGGTGCACACCTGTAATCCCAGCTACTTGGGAGGCTGAGGCAGGAGAATCGCTTGATGGCTTCTCCTTCACTACACGGCTGGTGCCCAGCCACAGCACAGAAACCCTATTGCCTATTCACATCAGGCTCCCTGTCCTTGGGAAGAGTCCACCTGGCCAGAGTTAATTTTCCCTCCTCTGCATACAAAACATCACTATGAGTCTCCCCTTATCCTGGTTTATAAAGAGTGATTTTCCTATCACTTGTTTCAGAAAAATTACCAAAATAAAAATGTTCACAAAAGTCAAATACTAAAGTATGTGAACTCCAGGGCCTGCACTCTTGACCACTACGCTCTGCATCTTCTCAACATACATACTTCCAAATGGTAAATTCCTTAAGAGAAAAAAAAACAGGGATAAAGACTTTTTTCCCTCTTTTCCACATCACTTGGCATGTCTATTTTATCAAAAACTTTGTACTCAATGTATAAATGAATGAAACTTCTCCACCCTGTATCATGTCAACAGGCTTTAGCTCTTCTAAAGTGCCTCCAATTACACCACAGCCATTTTCTTTGAATTTATAAAATATGACATGCATTTAACTGGCACGAATGCCAACAGATCACAGTAAAGACGCTACCAGGAAAACTCCTACCCTAGATATCTCTTGTCACCTACAAGAGACCTTAAATATCCTCTTAAACATTTAATAGGGTATACAAGTGTGGCATGTGTGCAGTTTTAGGTTAGCACATGTATCCTGGAGTGTGGGTTCAAATCCTGACTCCACCAATTACTTTTGGTGTGACTTCCGGAAAATTACTAATCTCTCTGAGCCTTGACCTTGGTATAGAGAGATTAGTAATTTATAAAGCTGACACTAATAATAACAACAATTTCACTGGCCTGTTCTGAAAATGCAAATAAAACAATCTTTGGAAAATGTTTAACACAGTATCTGACATATACCAAATACTCAATAAATCTTAGCTATTATTATCATTGAACTTGGGCAGGGTTCTGTGAAACAGGACCTCTAGTAGCAAAGTAAGAATAGTTTTCAAGCCTTGAATACTTAAAATAGTTGGTCATTCTCACTGAGATCACTAGAAGTTGCTTCTGCTTTAGACTCATAAATGCTTCTGGTATCTTTTTTTCTTTTAATGAAGTTTTATTTTATAAATAGCAACAGGATCTCACTATGTCACCCAGGCTGATCTCGAACTCCTGCCCTCAAGCAATCCTCCTGCCTTGGTTTCCCAAAGTGCTGAGATTACAGGTGTGAGCCATTGTGCCTGGCCTGGTCTCTTAAGCTTCCTGTTTCATGCACTTTTTAAAATTTAATTCTCGTCATTGCTAATTAGCATTTTTTGGAGACTTAGCTATATAACCTTTTTCTGAAAGCTGTTTCATACAGACTTGGATTATTTTCATAAAATATTGCCAAAGAGTGTAGTGAACAGCAACCATGTTGGCTTTTCAATTATGTATTTATTTTTTAATTAAAACTTTAATTCCAAAACCCCCAGCATACTTCAAATTAGTGCTTGGTGCTTTAGTGAAGAGCCATGCCAAATAACACAGTTTGCTTATGTGAATTATAATCACACATGTAATTCTTCTGTTTAATTCAGGTCGAAGAGGCCAGTGAAACTACTGCTTTTGATACTTGTATTTCACATATAGGAGTCTAGAGTAAGATACTTCCAGATTTTGGGAGCTGTCTTTTTAGGATGAAATGAGCTTAAATGGATGGGCTAGCTGTTTGCAGAATGCTACTATATAAAGGATGTCTACAAATTTTTGTTATAAAGGGTTGACAATATGCCCAATGTACTTACGGTAATGACCATCTAGGCTCAGGACTGAAAAATAACTGGAGTTATGACCCAACAAACTAGTGTGAACAAAATATTTGTTACTGAGTGAGTGTCTTCATAGAGGTGAAGTAAAAAAGATTTTCCAGCTGGGCGCAGTGGCTCACACCTGTAATCCCAGCACTTTGGGAGGCTGGGGCAGGCAGATCACCTGAGATCAGGAGTCCAAGACCAGCCTGGTCAATATGGTGAAACCCCATCTCTACTAAAAATACAAAAATTAGCTGGGTGTACCGGTGGGCGTCTGTAATCCCAGCTACTCAGGAGGCTGAGGCAGGGCAATCACCTGAACCAGGGAGGCAGAGGTTGCAGTGAGCCGAGATCACGCACTGCTCCAACCTGGGAAACAAGAGCGAAACTCCATCTCAAAAAATAAAGATTTTCCTCTGTCCAAAGAAGACGGTTCTGTGATCAGCTGACAAGAGGATTCTGCTCTACCTGGGAGGCACATTTTTATAACAGAACTATCACAGTTCAAAGACATCTCACATTTGAGGTTAGCCAGCACTCTGAGTTCTGACTCTGTGCCCATCGGGCTTCCCACGCAAACTGTCTTACAGCAGAAGGGATACAGTGACCAGCTATCATAGAATTCTGGTCCTGCTGCTACACTGCTCCAGCCAAAAGTTTAAAAACTGCCTTCCAGCTTAAGTGTCGGCCTCTTTTGACTTCAGTTAAAGTAAGCCAGTCCCTAAATTGAGCCAACTCAAATTAGTTTACAATTAAAAATCAATTTTCTACTAGAAAAATGGCGGAAACAGCATGAGAGTCAAGGTCAAAAAGAGCGAGTATGAATCCTAGCTCCACCACTTGCTAGCCTTGACTAAATTACTTCACTTCTGTGTCTTATCATCCATGCTTTCATCATCCACACATGGGTGTAACAGCGACTCCCCCTCATGTTGTGAAGATAAAAACTTACATGAGATAAGGCACCTAACAAATTATAGCTCTCTAGTGACCCACTTCTACCTGAATCACTGCCTGAGCAGTGGGCAATCGTCCCTCTCTGACATAGTTTTGGATATTGTTTTTCTTATTTAAAAGTATACATTATCCCTGCAGAAAAATTGCAAAGCAAAAAAAAAGTGCGAATTGTTGGGGACAAGGGGGTTTTTTGGGGCATATTTCTAATATTCTGGGGCATATTTCATCTCAGCTGTTTTGCTACATTTATTTCATGACATATTTTTAGAATATTTACAGAACATTTGAAAACTGCAAAGAAGAAAAGCAGATACCATGAACTCTACTACCCAGAGCTGATCAATTCTATTATTTTGGCATATTTCCTTCCAATATTTTAAAAATGTAACTGACTGATCATGACCAGGCTGGAATCCTCTTTTTCAGATTAATGTGCTATATTTCTATGACTCACCTTCTTCTTTTAATGAAACATTACTTACTGTTTTTGCCGTCTTTAAGAGTCATGTTTCTGGTATAAGAGATATTCAGTCTTCTTCCACTGCTAGATGAAAATGGAGAGAACCGATCTGGAAAAAATTTAAAATTCAGTAACAAATTCATGAGTATCAAGCCTGTGAAATTTATACCTTACAAAAGAAAACATAAAACGCTAGTCCTAAATTGGCAACTCAGATATGCTTTTTTTTTTGTTTTCTCATTGTTTCAGGTTTAAAGAGATAATTCTGTTTATATCTTATGGAATTCCATATTAAAAATTCTAGCATCTACTGAAGAATCTGAGTATTTGTAATCTAAACTCTCATCCTGCAGTAGCATAAGCTACACCATGGTCACCCCTTTTGATGGGGCAAATTCTTATTCATTCAAGGTCACTAAAGCCTTTACTATTCCCTGTTTTTCTTTTACCTGGCCTCTTTTCCTCTTCTATGTTGTTGGTCCAGCCCTTAGAGGCATTGTTTTTTTTGACATGGAATCTCACTCTGTTGCCCAGGCTGTAGTGCCGCAGCACGATCTTGGCTCACTGAAACTTCCACTTCCTGGGTTCAAGTGATTCTCCTGCCTCAGCCTCCCAAGTAGCTGGGATTACAGGTGCACGCCACCATGGCCGGCTAATTTTTCTATTTTTGGTAGAGATAGGGTTTCACTGTGTTGGCCAGGCTGGTCTCAAACTCCTGATTTAAGTGATACAGCTGCCCCAGGCCTCCCAAATTGTTGGGATTACAGGCATGAACCACAGTGCCTAGCCCTTTATAGGCATTTGGGCGTACCTCCTCTACTGGACAATATCCAGAAGCTTCAGCAAAGCTAAGCTGATGTGATTTATTCTGAATCTCATCTCTGTACCAATTATAAACTTTTAAAAGGAAGGTCACAGTAAGAGAACACTCCATTCTAAAAACGTTAAGTTCAGGCTCAGGAATATCACATGGGACATATTTAGATGCATTTTCATTCAATGTAAAAGGATAAAATGAGGATAAAATCTTCTAAAGATGTAGCTTTCAGCACTTAAAACATTTTACATTTTAAGCTTTCAATATAGCTATCCTGAATGAATGTAAATGAGTCTAGAAATTAAATATAGGATTCCAATAGGGGATCCTATAATAATACAGGTTCAGTATCCCTATCCAAAATGCTTGGGACCAGAAGTGCTTTAAATTTCAGATTTTTTTTTTTTTTTTGATTTTGGATTATTTGCATTATATTTAACTGGCTCAACATCCCTGATCCAAATATCTGGACTCTGAAATGTTCCAATGAGCATTTCCTTTGAGTGTCACCTTAGTGCTCAAAAAGCTTCTGATTCTGGAGCATTTCGGATTTGGGATGCTCAAACAGTATAGGGTAACAAAATAATTATCAATAAAAGAGAAAAACAGATTAGATTTTTTAAAATTCTGTTTGCTCCAAAGGTCAGAGCTAGCCAGAAATGGAACAAGTTTGTGAGGGCTGAGATTGTGTATCAATTTAAAGGGAAGAACTTTCGAATGGGGGAACTGGCTGAAACTCTAAGCAACCCTGTGAGGTAATGAATTTCCAGTTTCCTGGGGTGTTAGGAAGAAGTTGAGCAACAACTAAGTGGGTGTGCTGAGGTAGAAGGGAATATATGTGGGTGGTACCAGGATGTACGCCTGCTGTGACCCTTCCTATGCTTGGATTCTATGACACTATGAAGTCTCCAGGTAGAAAATCACAGGATGGAAAGAGAGGAAGAAGTGATTCGATACTAAGTCATGGGTAACCCAAGGGAATCTAAGTCTCCTGTGTTCCGTCTTGAGACTGGGACAAAGGGAGCTGCTGCACGTACAGAGGATATAACAAAGTAGGCCCCCGAGGAGTGGCGAACAAAAGAAGTGGTAAGAAGTTAGCACAGGATGTGGGGAGAACAAGTGCTTGACTGAAAAGAGATTTCTACAGTGCTAGGTGTTTAGTTACACTACAGTTAATGGGTTAAATAGTGTTTACGGGTGCATCCATGGCAAGCCAAGAGCTTTCCTTCATACTAAAAAACACATCTGCAAAGAATGGTGTCAGTCACTGAGAGGTGAAAAGAGAGGCAAGGGGGCCACAGAGAGAGAAAAGCACGTTCAATGCTGATTCGCAACACTTGACAAGCAGAGGAAAGGGAAAAGCCTACCATACCATGTGTCTGGAGAGTGAAGGCGTCGGTCATGGCCTTCTCCTTGAGGATGAGGCCCAGGGCTGCCTGGCATAAAGTCTCTTTGGCTGCAGCCTTCCAACTGGGCAGCAGCTCTTTGTGGTGCTGAGGGATGAAGTCAGTGTGCACGTTCCCAGCTTCAAACTCTGGGTGGCCAGAGAGGTTAAGTAAGAAGTTGATATTGGTGTGCAGTCCAACAATCTAGGAAGAGAACAAAGCCCCATTTCCTCCTGAGCGGGGAAAACATGTTCAGAAAACCATCTGCTCTTTTTATCTAGGTATCTTCTACTGTGAACAACTCTTAGGAAAAATGAAAACCTACTAAGGTACCATGTGGAAACAGGACAATTCTCAGGAAAAACAAAACAAAAACTCACCTCACTATGACTATGTCCATTACTGTATCCATCCAGACTTAACACTTAAAATTACATTTTAATATGACAAAGGGGAGGCACGAAATGCCGTCATAGTAGGCAGTACAGAGGCACTTTGTTGACTCGGGTTAGGAAAGTAATCAATGTTAAGAAACATAAATGAAATTCATTTGCAAAGTATTGAAGACTTGCTGCTCAGAATACTTCCAGAGAATAGGAAGACTGCAAACCACAAGCAGGATTGCTATACTGGGGAGACGATAGGGTTAAATAACCTCAAAAGAGCTTCCTTCTAACACTCAAATCCAAATTTTATATACTGATACAAAAATTTTCAAAGGCATAAAATTAACCCAAATATACCAATAAATGGGATCGAAAGTAAAACCAGCTCTGAGCTGTGGGTTCGTTCATTCACTCATCCATTCCTTCATTCGTTTAACAGCCATTTCCAGAGCATCTCTTAGGTGGCAGGCTCTGATACAGGCACTGGGGACACAGTGAGGAACAAAAGGGATGAGGTCCCTGCCTTCACAGTCTCTGCTTACATTCTAGGGAAACAAGTAATAACGCCTGTAAACAGGCATCTAATATAATGTCATATGCCATCAAGAAAACGAAGGCTGGCTAAGAGGACGGAGAATAACAAAAGGTCATACTTTAAATGGGGTAGCCTGGGAAAGGGCTCAGAGCAGGAGAGCAGTGTAGTCAGGAGGGAGCCCTATAATCATGTAGGGGGGAGAATATTCTGGAAGACTGGACAGGAATGCATGGCTCCATGCTGAGTGGGTCTCAGAAGTGGCAAAGCGGCCAGTGTGGTTGGAGCCACAGAGACCAGAGCTTTGATCAATTATTAACGTAACAAGTTGAATAACTGGGTTAATAAATCCTTCTCTGAGCTAAATCAGTATGGTATGGGACTTTCTGCACCAAGGAAATTAATGTTCTACAGAAAAATAACAAACTCTATCAAAGGGACGAAACTGAACATAATTATTTTACTTCAGAGAAAAATTACCAGACTATAGGTCACACTGAGTAGGGAAAACAACATTCAAGAAAACATCTGCTTTTATTTCCTAAGTATTTTCTACTGAGGGCAGCTCTAAGGGAAAATAAAAAACCTACTAAGGTACCATGTATAGCCAGTCTTATCTACAGAGTGAACAGGATTTCCCTGAAACACAGCACTGACACTAGCAATACTTCGTAATCTTTCTTTTGTAACTGAAATCAACAAATCCTCAAACCCTGTTCTGGCCCATGCAACATTCTCCCCTATGAAATTATTGTTTGGGCAACTGATGGAAATAGAAGGCAAAGGCTGACCTCTGGTGCTGACCAAACACATCAAGGTCACTGGCATGGCCTCAGGTCACTCACATGGTACTGATGAAGGCTGTACCTCAGTTTTGTCAACGCCGCCTGGCGATCTGCCGCCCACACGACCAGCTTCGCAATCATGGGGTCATAATGCACAGAAACTTCATCTCCTGAAATTGAAAACCATGGTAACCCCTTCAAGTCAAAACATAAAGGAATAAAACACAACGAGCAAGACATTTTGTTATGTACATTTCACGCTTAATCCTCATAAACCCCTGCATGATAAATAACATTGCCATAAATTTTTTCATGAGGACCCTGAGGTTCAGAGGGCTTTGAAAACTTGTCAAGTGTAACGAGGGTGGGCCACCCAACAGCACCAGGCCATAACATGGTGATCAGTGGCACACGACCTGGCTCTCCCTGTCCTGTCTTCTTCTGAACCTTCTTTTTCCTTCTCATTTTGAAAGTCAATACAATCTCCCACTACCCTCTCACATTGCCCTTAGCATTCCCCTCCCTCCACTCCTTCAGTTTCCGCACCAGTCAAGCAGGTTTAATAATTCCTCTGTCCTGCAGGGTTGTTAGGAAGAGTGGCAATCAAGTGACAAGTGCCACACCAATGGCATCTGAACCAGAGGACATTCCAGAGGACTGGTTAGAAATGGTTCAGGTGGAAAGGATGTGTGCTGTAAAGAACATTGTTACAGGGTCTTTCCAGGCTTTTGGCAGTCACTTGACCTCTTTGAACCCCAGAGTCCTTATTGATAAGATTAAAGATGGCTGCAGAACAAAGGAAGGAATCCATGAGACAAGCAGAGTTAAGACGCTTCGCTGGTAAGTTAAAAAATCTACTAACTACCAAATCTTGCTGTGGCTTATCCAGAGCTCTCAAAATGCTGCCAATTTATTTTCAAGAAGTCCTAAATCCTCATTTTGGCTTTCAAGACACTATATGATTCACCTTCAACTCATGTCTTCAGCCATGTATTTTCTTACTATTCTTTAAATATACCTTATTCTCTTCTCTTCACTCTTCATTGTGCTGTTAAATCTACCTACCTAAATCCATTCCAGTCATCTTCTTAAAAGCCTGTCCTGGGCAGGCATGGTGTCTCACCCCTGTCACTTCGGCACCTTGAGAGGCTGAGGCAGGCAGATCACCTGAGGCTAGGAGTTTGAGACCAGCCTAGCCAACATGGTGAAAACCTGTCTCTACTAAAAATGCAAAAAAAAAAAATCTGCTAGGCATGGTGGTGCACACCTGCAATCCCAGTTACTCAGGAGGTTGAAGCATGAGAATTGCTTAAGCCAGGGAGATAAAGGCTGCAGTGAGCCAAGATCACACCACTGTACTCCAGCCTGGGTGACAGAGCGAGACCCTGTCTCAAAAAAAAACACAAAAAACAAAAACAAACTTGTGCTGTTTATATCAGTGTAATGTAAGCTCTTACCCCTGAGAATTGCTATATCCCATCACTGTATAACTTATTCCATCAACTGAAATTAAGATGTCAGGAGACAGTGGAGGCTCCAGAGCACTGACTCAGGAACCAGACTGCCTGGGTCTGACCTTGGCTCCAAGGATGACCTTGGACAAGTGACTTAACTCCTCTGTGCTCCAGTTTCCTCATCTAGAAAGTAGGGATGATAATAACACCTACTCACAGGGCAGTTCTTATGGTGAAATGAACACATTTAGAAAAATCACCTGGCAGTGTCAGTAAGTAAGTGCTAAGTAGGCCGGGTGCGGTGGCTCAAGCCTGTAATCCCAGCACTTTGGGAGGCCGAGGCGGGTGGATCACGAGGTCAAGAGATCAAGACCATCCTGGTCAACATGGTGAAACCCCGTCTCTACTAAAATTACAAAAAATTAGCTGGACATGGTGGCGCGTGCCTGTAATCCCAGCTACTCGGGAGGCTGAGGCAGGAGAATTGCCTGAACCCAGGAGGCGGAGGTTGTGGTGAGCCGAGATCGCGCCATTGCACTCCAGCCTGGGTAACAAGAGCGAAACTCCGTCTCAAAAAAAAAAAGAAGTGCTAAGTAATCACTAGTTATGACCACTGTCATTAATCATATGCTGAAATGCCACAGCTCTTCGATTTCTTTACTGTAATTTTTTAAATTATTATTTACCTTGTACTAAGTTTATGTATTAATTCTCCAACTTGACTTTATGTCCCTTGAAGGCAGTACGCCTTGGGCATAGCAGATATCAGTCATCTTAAATCATTTTTGGAACGAAGCAAGGTAAAAAAAAAAAAAAAAAGTAAGACAGTACACATGAAACATTTCCTGGTTCGGTTTGACCGAGTACTGCTGAATCTCAAAAAAAGAGAGTCCACTGTTTTAAAATACTCCCTATTCTTTAAAAATAACAATTTCTGAGGGAAAAAGTAATGGTTACCAAGAAATCACTTAAATTCTTTATTTTAAAATATGCTAGACATTTCCATAAGACTCAGGGATAAGAATCTGTCCAAAAATAATAATGTACTAAAAACTTAAAAAGAATGAGATCCTTAATTTTATTCACTTGACCTTGCCGTACTCCAGTCTCAATCCTAGTGCAAGGGTCTGCTGGCGGGGTAGAGAGGTGCACCAGTGGTCCAGTCCCAGGCAGGAAGTTACGGCTAGGATCTTCTGCGTATATTCTAGCTTCGAAGGCATGGCCCTGCAGAGGTATTTCTTCCTGGCTCAAAGGAATCATTTCTCCTGCTGCAATCTGGTAACAGAATAGTATTTCTCATGAAATCTACTGTATAACAGCTACAAGACTTAGTAAATCAATGGTCTTGCTTTTTTTTCTAGGTAAAATGTACATTTAGGTTTTGCAGTGCATCCAAATAAAAAGTATTATTTTGTCTACTCACTTGGGTATTGGGCAAAACAAAATGCAAAATAAATGCAGCTTGGGAATATACTCTATTATTTGGGTATCAGAGTTTTTAAATGGAAAAAGTAGGCAAAGTGATGGCTACCTTACAAATATAAAAATCAGTGTTTGTTTCACATAATCAAAACCAAAATTTCTTACTGGCAAGATACTCTGTTTTCATTTAAAACATTAGCACTCAGTTCCCAAATCAATTGTTTTTTAAAAATAATACATTATTAGCGTTTAGGACTAGATTCACATGCAAAAAGTGTGGCTGGCGTTATCATCCTATATTGTATTCTTCATCAGTAAGTGGGTGAAAAAGCAGAATAGAAAGGGAGCATGGGCCGGGCACGGTGGCTCACGCCTGTAATCCCAGCACTTTGGGAGGCTGAGGCGGGCAGATTACCTGAGTTCAGGAGTTCACAACCAGCCTGGGCAATATAGTGAAACCCTGTCTCCACTAAAATACAAAAAATTAGCCAGCCGTGGTGACATGTGGCTGTAATTCCAGCTACTCAGGAGGCTGAAGCAGGAGAATTGTTTGAACCCGGGACGTGGAGGTTGCAGTGAGCCGAGATCACGTGACTACACTCCAACCTGGGTGACAGAGAGAAACTCTGTCTCAAAAAAAAAAAAAGGTTGGGGGGGAACATGATGTTTTACGATGCTTTTTCAATTTATAAACAGGGTGATCAGGATTGCTTGCTGTTACTATAATTATTATGATTTTGGCTATGATGTATCAATACCACAAATCATGCTCTTCAACTAAGTAGTATAACTTGAAAAAGGCTATTGGAGAACACACTGTCACTTTCTCTCTTTACTCTCAAGTTTTTTTCCAAGATGAGAAAATGAAAACAATAGAAAGCAACAGAAATACAGGAAAAAAGGCTCTACGTAACTTAGCATGACATTCAACTAGACAGGTAAGTATAAAACAGAAGCAAATGTTTCATTTATTTAAATCTGTAAATACGAAAGATCAGGAACCACAGCAGTTCAGAATGAAAGGAGGCCGGGCGCAGTGGCTCACACCTGTAACCCCAGCACTTTGGGAGGCTGAGGCAAGCAGATCACAAGGTCAAGAGATCGAGACCATCCTGGCCAACATGGTGACACCCCATCCCTACTAAAACTACAAAAATTAGCTAAGTGTGGTGGCGCACACCTGTAGTCCCAGCTACTTGGGAGGCTGAGGCAAGAGAATTGCTTGAACCCAGGAGGCAGAAGTTGCAGTGAGCCAAGATCACACCACTGCACTCCAGCCTGGTGACAGAGCAAGACTCCGTCTCAAAAAAGAAAAAAAAAAAAAAAAAAAAAAGAAAGGAAATGGAACTAAGTTAAATGCCCTTATGGCAGTGTATTTTGAGAACACCTCAGGCTCTGCAGCCAGATTGCCTAGTTCAAATTTTGTCTCTATACTTAGTCATCTGGACAAGTTTCTTAAGGTTTGCATGCTTCAGAGAAAAGCATCTAGCATACACTAAGCACTATGTTACCTATTATCATTCTATCCTTATCCTTCACCATTAAATATTCTTTAATGTTTTAATAAAGAATTCTGGGCCGGACACAGAGGCTTACGCCTGTAATCACATCACTTTGGGAGGCTGAGGAAGGCAGATCACCTGAGGTCAGGAATTCAAGATCAGCCTGGCCAACATGGTGAAACCCCATCTCTACTAAAAATACAAAATTAGCTGGGCGTGGTGGGACGCACCTGTAATCCCAGTTATTCTGGTGGCTGAGGTAGGAGAATCACTTTAATGGGAGGTAGAGGTTGCAGTCTAGCCTGGGCAAAAAGAACAAAACTCCATCTCAAAAAAACAAAATCCATGTTTAACTATTAAAAAATAGAATGACGATGTATCCATATTCCAAGATGAGATCTTCTTTCTAACTCGACGGCCCCATTTCCACCCATGTTCACCTTGATTTGTCTTTGCCTGTCCATTTTCCTCCAAGATTGGCTTCCACTTGAGCCCAGAAGAGACAGGCCCCAGTCATGCCTCTGGGTATATGGAGATAGGTGCCATCTGAGTTCTCTCAGGCTGACAGTGGGTCTCCGGAACCCCTAACCTTGACATTTTCACCAGCTTTCCCTGAACACCGTTAACCATCTGTACCTGCAGCCTGAACCCAGAACACACATCAGTCATCATCCAACCCTTGCTCTAGGAAGCCTCTGACTACAAAGGCAGGTCCTCAAGCTTGAACTCTTGATTCACCAAATGTGAGCCCCTTTGTTTTACCTGTTTGGAGCCAGACACCAACTGCCTTGAACTCTACAACCCAGGTCCAGCAGCTTCCCTACATTCTAGAGCCCTCCCCAGAAGATAAAAGCTGGCTTCTCTTTCTGAAGAGCCTTGACAACCTCTTAACAAGAAATAAATGTCTGCTGGTATCCCTCATGCCCATAAGCTTTCTCCTTCCTTAATCCTTAGAAACTCTTTTTATCTCTATGATTTCCAAAGTCTAAACTGTCTTGATTAATGCTTCAGAAAAATTATCCTCCTTTTCCTTGAATTCTGGAAATATAAATGCTCTTCCTAGAAGTTTCCAAAGCCACTACAGTTTTTCTTGACACTCACTAAAACTTACTAGCTTGCTGTGCCTGGTTTTCATTAGTGGCCTAGGATATGGAGCCCAAGAAGAACCTTTGGCTCAATTAAAACCACCAATCGCTCCCAAGGAACCAACAAAAGGAATATCATACTATTATCCACAGAAGTTCTGAAAAGATAAAATTATCAATCAAGACTTTAACATCACACCATAAAAAAAAAAATTTAGATTCAGGTTATATAAGGAACCAAGAACCCTACCAATATCAGGAATGTCTGTATTACCTAACAAATTTTTTTCATGTTAAGAAAAAGAAGGCTAAAGTAAAATCTATTACTAACAAGAACAAAAGCAGACAAAACTATTATTAATATTTGATTTTGAAAATTATGTTTTGTGGAATTCTGGTTTATACCAGTGCTGCTCAAACTATCCAAAGTAAAAGAACAGTTATAAACTTACATGTCTGACAAATACAGTAGACATGTCATAGCAATGCCAAAATGCTTTAAAAGTTTCCAAACATTTACTCTGAATGAATACTGACTCATGGGCCAGCAATAGCCATAAATCAGCCCTTTTCTTGGATCGCTGTAGCCCATCTCCTTGGCTCTTCATTCCCAGCTCTGCCTCAGCTCACTTCATCTTGCCTAGCATCTGCCCTGCCTCTAAAATCAAATGATGGCCTGGCCCAAAATGCTGTGGCTGTTGGTAGACCATGAGGCTTGATCTTGAGGTGATGGTTATGAGCAAGCCTCTGTGACAGAAGTTTACCTGCTGGCTGCCTGTGCCTAAGAGGGACTGAATCTGAGCCCCCAAAGTATCAAAAAAAGCTAGCGCATCAAACGCGGCTTCACTCTTTACTTCCCACCTTCCTGTCCTCATTACCACCAACTGAACCCCGTTAAAATGACACCTGTTCTAGGAGGCCAGAAGGCAGTAACCTATTCTCAAGACTCTTTTTTTTTTTTGGTAAATTATAGATCCAGGTGGTACATGTGAAGGTTCATTACACGGGTATTCTGCATAATGCTGTGGGATTTGGGCTTCTGGTGAAAAAAATCACTCAAACAGTGAACATGGTACCATTTAGGTAGTGTTTCAACCCTCACTTCCCTCCCATCAAGATTTTTTTTTTAAAGATGGAGTCTTGCTCTGTTGTCCAGGCTGGAGTGCAATGGCGCAATCCTGGCTTATTGCAACCTCCACCTCCTGGGTTTAAGCGATTCTCCTGCCTCAGCCTCCTGAGTACCAGGAACTACGGACACCCACCACCACGCCTGGCTAATTTTTGTACTTTTAGTAAAGACGGGGTTTCACCATGTTGGCCAGGCTGGTCTCAAACTCCTGACATCAGGTGATCCATCCACCTCAGCCTCCCAAAGTACTGGGACTACAGGTGTGAGCCACTGTGCCCCACCAAGACTGATCTTTAATAGAAAAAATATTCTCACTCTAAGCTGCCACTCCACCAAGTCAGTTCCTGTGATCATCTCTGTAACAGGGTGTTCCACTTGCAGCCTTGTATTCATCTCCATGAAATAGAAATTATGTTTCGAGTCCATAATAAACTCCACAGTCCCTAAAAGATAAAAAACAATGGTCATATTCCATAGTATATCATCAGTAGCAAACCAAAATCTTCCATGAGGCATCACATCAAGTTTTACTGCTGCCTTCATTCAACGGTTAACACTTTGCATTTCATGAAGAAAATATCTCGCATTTCCAACAGCATATGAGTCTTAGTCAAAAATAGAGAGCTGCATGAAATCTGGCAACAGAAAAGTCTATTTGGGGTTGTGAGCAAATGGTAAACCCAAATTCTGAATCCGTTTCAGCTGCTATACCAGTGAGAACAAGGGTGGATCACATGTTACTGCCTAAGGGCACCAAGATCCCGGAAGCCTCATGCCATGACATCCCATCTCACTCTAACCCCACGGAAAAAAAGAAAACTTTTTTCCTCTGACTATGTGTGCCTAGAAATTTCCTTTAAAAGTCCTTTTGCTGGCAACCCATCGAAAGATTGTTTGGCAACTAAACCTTATGTTAATATCTACTGGCAATCTATTAAGCCCTAAAAAGGTTTCCCTAACTTTATTAAGGTTTCATTTTAGACAACAAACTGTAACAATTTTAAGTGTGGGTGTGTGATTTAGCAATTGAATACAATCAAAGAACCACAATGACACTATAGAACATTTCCAGCATCCACAAAATTCCCTTGTTCCCATTTGCAATCAGTCCCTTCACTAAGCCCTGGGATCCAGGAAACCACTAATCTGCTTTCTGTCACTGTAGTTTTTCTGGAATTTTATATAAATGAAATTATATAGCTTGTAGTCTTCTGTGTTTGTGTTTTTTTCTCTTAAAGTGAATACAATGTAAAACTGTTTCTACAAGTGTGGTTACAACCCATTAGCGAACTTTTTTTTTTTTTTCTTGAGACAGAGTCTCATTGTGTCACCCAGGCTGAAGTGCAATGGCACAGTCTTAGCTCACTACAAACTCTACCTCCTGACAAAAGAGAGACAGAAAATATATATATATATATATTTGTATTGACTTCTGTTTGCATTTAAAAAATATTTCTAGAGCTGAGTGTGGTGGCTTATGCCTGTAATTCCAACACGTTGGGAGGCCAAGGCAGGCAGATCACCTGAGGTCAGCTGTTCGAGACCAGCCTGACCAACATGATGAAACCCTGTCTCTACTAAAAATACAAAAAAGAAGCCAGGTATGGTAGTGAACGCCTGTAATCCCAGCTACCCAGGGGGCTGGGACAGGAGAATTGCTTGAACCTGGGAGGCAGAGGTTACAGTGAACCAAAATTGCACCACTGCACTACAGCCTGGGTGACAGAGTGAGACTGTCAAAAAAAAAAAAAAAAAGGGAAAATCAAGAGAAGTGAAGACAACTCTCAAACTGACAATGTTTGCAAAGGCACATCTAATAAAAAACTGTTATTCAAAATATACAAAGAACTCTTAAAACTCAACAATAGGAAAACAACCTGATTTAAAAAATGGGTGAAAGATGTGAAGAGACACTTCATCAAAGAAGATAAACAGATGGCAAGTATGCATATGAAAAGATATTCAACATTATAGGTCATTAGGGAAGTGCAAATTAAAACAATGAGATACCAAATGGCCTGAATCCAAAACACTGACATCACCAAAAACTGCAGAGGATTTGGAGCAGCAGGAACCCTCTTTTGTTGCTGGTAGGAATGCAAAATAGTACAGTCACTTTAGAAGAGAGTTTGTCAGTTTTTTCCAAAACTAAACATTCTCTTACCATATGACCCAGAAAGCACACTCCTTAGTACTTATCCACATAAACTAAAAAATTATGTCCATACAAAAGCCTGATTATTTTCAGGATGTTTATAGCAGCTTTATTCATAACTGCCAAAACTTGGAAGCAACTAAGATGTCCTTCAGTAGCTGAATGGATAATAAACTGTTGGACACTGAGGCAATGAAATATTATCCAGCATAAAAAAAGAAATGAGCTATCAAGCCATGAAAAGACATGAAGGAAACTGAAATGCATATTATAAAGATAAGAAGCCAATCTGAAAAGGCTATATACTGCATGATTCTAGCTATATGACATTCTTGAAACGGCAAAACTACAGAGGCAGTAAAAACATTAGTGGCTACCAGGATTTAGGGGGAATGGAAGGATGAACAGAGAGAGCACAGAGAATACTGAAACTATTCCATAGCATAGTTCAATGGTTGATACGTATCATTACATTTGTCGAAACTCATAGAATGTACAACACCACGAGTGAGCCCGTATGTGAACTATGGACTTGGCTGATAATCATGTGTGAATGCAGGGTCATTGACTGAAACAAACGTACCACTCTGGTGCAGGGATGTTGATACTGTGGGAGCTTGTGTGTTGGGGGTTTTGGGGGAGACAGGGGCATATGGGGATTCTCTGTACTTTTCACTCAATTTTGCTATGGGCTTAAAACTGCTCTGAAAAATAAAGTTTACTAACTATAAAGAAGTAAAAATATCAATTTAGTGATTTTATTTTAAAATAGAATATAAAATATCAAATCTCATATAATTAAGTAGTTTAAGGAAACGTTTGTTTCAAATATATAGGTATGTAAAAACAAACATTTATATGTACATACTAGATCTCAACATAAAATATATTTCTTACTGTGAATATGTTCAAAGCAGCCTGAAAGCAACTGATTTAAAAGCTGGGTTTCTCTTGCCTCCCGACATTTAAATTCATCACCGTCACATCTCTTCCATTGGAAGCAAATCTTAGCATACCTGCTCCAACATAATTTACAGCTTTAGCAGCTCTGACTGCAGCTTCTCCAAGCTGTTTTCTTACTTCAGGTTTAATGCCAGGCTTTGAAAAAAAATGTTAAGTAAATCTCCATTAGTAGCTTGCCTTACTAGAAATTCCATTAAAATTCAATTCAGTCAGGTGCCACGTAATGACGTTCCTCAGTCAACAACAGCCCACATACACAACAGTTAATCTGATAAGATTATAATGGAGCTGAAAAATTCCTATGACCTAGTGACACTGTAGCTGTCACATCACAGCACAGTGCATCACTCATGTGTTTTGTGGTGAGGCTGGTGTAAACAAAACGACTGCACTGCCAGTATACAAAAGTATAGCACAATCATGTGCTGTACATAGTACTTGATAATGATAAAAAACGACTATGTTATTGGTTTATACATTTACTATAAGATATAATTTTTACAGTTAATTTAAAGTGTATCCCTTTCACTTAAAAAAAGTTAAACTGTAAAACAGCCTCAGGCAGGTCCTTCAGGAGGTGTTTCAGAAGAAGGCATTGTTATCACAGAAAATGACAGCTCCACAGAAGTTATTGACCCTGAAAACTTTCAGAAGGCAGTGACACTGATGATCCTGACTCCGTTTAGGTCTAATCTAATGTGTGTGTTTGTGTCTTCCTTTTTATGGTGTTGTTGAGACAGAGTCTTGCTCTGTTGCCCAGAGTGCAATGGCACATTCTCAGCTCATTGCAACCTCTGCCTCCTGGGTTCAAGCAATTCTCCTGTCTCAGCCACCCAGGTAGCTAGAATTACAGGTGCACACCACCATGCCTGGCTAATTTTTTGTAGTTTTAGTAGACAAAGGGTTGCACCGTGTTAGCCAGGATGGTCTCGATCTCCTGAATTCATGATCTGTCCACCTTGACCTCCCAAAGTGCTGGGATTACAGGCCTGAGCCACCGTGCCCAGCCTGCATCTTCATTTTTAACAAAAAAGTTTAAAACATTAAAAAAAGCCAGGTGCAGTGGCTCACCCCTGTAATCCCAACATTTTGGGAGGCAGAAGTGAGTGGAGCGCTTGAGTGCAGGAGTTTGATCCCAGCCTGGCGAGACTCAAATACCATGGAGCAACATGTCTCTAGAAAAATAGAAAAATTAGCCAGGCATGAAAGCACATACCTACAGTCCCAGCTACTCCGGAGGCCGAGGTGGGAGGATCACTTGAGCCCAAGAGGTCATGGGTCTAGTGAGCCACATTTGTGCCACTGCACTCCAGCCTGGGTGACAGAGCAAGAACCCATCTCAAAAAAATTTAATTAAAAAATGTAAAAATAGGAAAAAGCTTATAGAATAAGGTTATAATTTTTTTTCTTTTTTGAGATGGAGTCTTGCTCTGTTGCCCAGGCAGGAGTGCAGTGGTGTGATCTTGGCTCACTGCAACCTCTGCCTCCCAGGTTTTTAAAAGCAATTCTCCTGTCTCAGCCTCTGAGTAGCTGGGATTACAGGTGCCTGCCACCACACCGAGCTAATTTTTGTATTTTTAGTAAAGACAGGGTCTCACCATGTTGGCCAGGCTGGTCTCGAACTCCTGACCTCAAGTGATCTGCCTATCTTGGCCTCACAAAGCCCTGGGATTACAGGTATAAGCCACCACACCCACCCAAGATATTTTTGTATGTCTGCATCTCGTGTTTGTGTTTTTAGGTAAGTATTACTTAAAAAGAGTAAAAAAGTGAAAAAATATATATATTTAAAAGTTTTTAAAGATATACATATATAAAGTAAAAAAGTTCCAGTAAGCTAAGGCTAATTTATTAAATAAAAATCTTTTTTATGAATTTAACTTAGTGGAAGTGTACAATGTTTACAAAGTGGCAGTGATGTACTAGGCCTTCATATTCACTCACTGTCCCACCCAGAGCAACTTACAATCTTGCAGGCTCCATTCAGGGTGAGTACTCCATACAGGGTGTGTACCATTTCACAAATCTTTTATACTGTATTTTTACTGTACCTTTTCTATGTTTATATATGTTTAGATACTTACCACTGTGTTACAACTGCCTGAAGCATTCAGTACAGTAATATGCTGTACAGGTTTGTCGCCTGGCAGCAACAGGCTCTACCAGCAGCTTACCTGTGCAGGAGGCTGTAATTACTATCTAGGTGTAAGCACACTCTATGATGTTCACACAATGACAAAATCACCTAAGGACGCATTTCTCAGAATGTATTCCTGTTGTTAAGCAATGCATGACTGCATTATATTTCTAAGTATCAAATACTGCATTAAAAAAGATAAAAAGCTAATATTAATATACTTCATCAAAAACTACTATCCTATCCTAGTTTAAATGTCAATATACTCAAGTTCAATGATTCTGCTACTAATTTCTATGCATTGTAGATATCACTCAGTATAATTACTTATCTTTGTCCCTTGTATCTACATGACAACTTTCATAACTATATGTCCACTTAAAATTATGTGTTTCAGGCTGGGCACTGTGACTCGGGTCTGTAATCCAAGTGTTTGGGAGGCTGCGGTTGGAAGATAATTTGAGGCCAGAAGTTTGAGACCAGCCTGGTCAACACGGTAAGAACCCATCTCTACAATAAATAAAAAAAATTGGCCAGGCATGGCAGCATGCACCTGTAATTCCAACTACTCAGGAGACTGAGGGGAGGAGTGCTGAGGCCCAGGAGTTGGAGACTGCAGTGAGCTATGATCATGCCACTGTACTCCAGGCTGGATGACAAAGTTAGACCCTGTCTCAAAAGAACAAAACAAAACTATATGTATCAATATGGTAACTTTCAACAATCCTTATTTTATTTCAGGATGCTAGGCAATCTGAGTTACGTGCCTAATGATTATCTTAAAATAATGGGAAAACTTGAGATTCCAAGTTAATTCTTAGAAAGGTTCATAAAAAGAAATGTATGTCAATAAGTAAGCAGAGTTTTCAACATTTTAAAGCAGTGCTATACAGATATAAATTTAAGTAATTACAACATGAAAATAAGGCTCTACTGTAATTCCTATTGACATTTAATGTGTCAATACTCATGGCATAACATATTCTGGTACAATGTATAATGATATTCTATAACATAAATATATTCTGCAACATAAATTAAAATTTGAATATAAGAATAATATACTTATTAACCAGAAACCTCTGATCCCTGACTTTTTGGAAATAAATAGATATCAGAAAAAAAAAAAACCATACATAACTTTGAACAAGAACCCATGGCAGTAGCAACCACCACAGAAATGTAAATCCAAAAACAAGAAGATCCAGTAGCAAGCTTTGACCCAGATAATCACCTAAACCAATCAAGAGTAAGGCTCAAAGAGATGCAAACAATTAATGCTAAGGGAGCAAAAGCTGCCAAACGAGTGACCCTCTCTTCTCTATAATATAACCATTAAGGCAGGAAAATCACTAACATATTTTGAGAACATCTAAAATGGTAATTAAAACAAAAAAGCCTTCTCCATAAAAAAATAAATCCAATTAACCAGACCATTCCATTCCAGGAATTGATTCTAGTTAATTACGATTTGAAATGTGCAGTGAAACCTCATTATACAGCTTTTCACTGTAAATCAGAGAGGTGAATCAGAGTAGATTTTCAGTATTTCATCCAGAAGGAACATGACCCTGTTGTGTCTACCCTGAAAACATCACTCCCAGTACTGCAGGAGGTCTTTCATTACACTGCTACTAGAACACAGTTGTCCAGCAGGAGTTTGAGGGGTAAGAGTCGCCAGCTTCAAAGACTTCTGATGTGAAAATCAGAGTAAATAAGATTCACATTACAGAGAAGCTTACAAATTTCCTTCCAAGGTCCTTACCGCTGGGGCCTCCTCGATGATCTTCTGATGTCGCCTCTGCACACTACAGTCTCTTTCAAACAAGTACACAGCATTGCCATGGTGATCCCCAAACACCTGGACTTCTACATGCCTAGATGAAAGCAAACACATATGTTAATGTATTCGTCAGGCATGATAAATATCACATTCGTGAAGCTAAACTGCTAGGCCCAATCACCAGGATTTCTCCATTTTTACTTTCTTTAAGTAAGATCTGACATTTTGACCTCAAATTAGAGATTATGGATTTAGAAAAAGAACTACAGGCCAGATGAGATGGCTGATGTCTGTAATCAAGGCAGAATGCTTGAGCCCAAGAGTTCAAGACAAGCCTGGGCAACATAGTGAAACCCCATCTCTACAAAAAACTAGTCAGGCATGGTAGCACATGCCTGTAGTCCCAGCTACTCAGGAGGCTGAGAACAGAAGGTTGTGGCTGCAGTGAGCCGAGATCATGCCACGGCATTCCAACTTGGGTGACAGAATGAGAGAACCTGTCAAAACAAACAAATTATAATCTTGTAAAACTCAATGAAAAAGTTACCATTTGTAGGATGAGTATTAAAGGAAAAAAATCTCTACATAAAATGACAAATAAGAAAAGACATTTCTCCAACCTGAAGAAGAATGAATGAATGAATGAATGATTTTTAAAAGACAGAAAATAGAGACTAAAGTAGGGATACGTAGCAAAAAGAACAAATTGTCAAAGAAAAGACTGACAAATTTGACTACCTCAAAATTACAAATTATAGTCACTTAATATTGTCAAAAGACCAATGAAAAATTTTATGACCACTTCTTGTTTTTTTTTTTTGGAAGGGAGGAAGGGAGGAAGGCAGGAAGGGAGGAAAGGAGGAAGGGACGGAGGAAGGAAGGGAGGGAGGGAGGGAGAGAAGGGAAGGAAGGAAATCGAGCAATGAGAGAGACATTGCCGACCTGGATCTAGAGGTCTACAAGTTGATTTCTTTTTTTTATTTTTTTGAGAGAAGGAAAGAAAAAAAAGGAGTGAAGGAGAGGAAGAAAAAGAGGGAGAGAGAAGGGAAATGTTGCTTTGTTCTAAAAAAAATGGGTATTAATAATGGTCAATAAATGTTTGATTTAAACCTATGAGTAGGTGTGATGTGGTATTGACAAGAATGTATATTTTGTATATTTAAAGTGGAGAGCTCTATAAATATTAAGTTTACTTGTTCCAGATCTGAGTTCAAGTCCTGGATATCCTTATTAATTTTCTGTCTTGTTGAGTCTAAGTCTCTTTATAGGTCTTATGTATCTGGGTGTTAGGATCGTTAGCTCTTATTGTTGCATTGATCCTTTTACCACTACGTCTTTGTTGCTTTAAGATCTATTTTATCAGATACAAGAATTGCAACTCCTGCTTTTTATTTATTCATTTATTTCTGCTCTCCATTTGGTTGGTAAATCTTTCTCCATCCCTTTGTTTTGAGTCTTTGTGTATCCTTGCAAGTGAAATGGGTCTGGATGTAACATGCCATTGGGTTCTGGCTGTATCTTTTGATTGGGGGATTTAGTCGATTTAAATTTAGGGTTACTGCCATTTGATGTTAAATGGCTGTTTTATCCATTCGTTGATGTAAATTCTTCTTTATGTTGATGCTCTTTACTTTTTGGTATATTTTTAGAAAGGCTAATACTGGTTGTTTCCTTCTATGTGTAATGCTTCTTTCAGAAGCTCTTGTTAAGCAGGCCTGGTGGTAATAAAATCTCTTTTTTTTTTGTACTTGCCTGTTCATAAAAGATTTTATTTTTCCTTCAGTTGTGAAGCTTAGTTTGGCTGGATATGAAATTCTGGGCTGAAAGTTCTGTTCTTTAAGGATGTTGAATATTGGCCCCCACTCTCTTCTGGCTTGTAGAGTTTCTGCTGAGAGATCTGCTGTAAGTCTGATAGGCTTCCCTTTTAAATTAACTTGACCTTTCTCTCTGGCTGCCCTTAGTATTTTCTCCTTCGTTTCAACCCTGGTGAATCTAACGATTATGTGCCTTGGGGTTGCTCTTCTTGAGGAGTATCTTTGTGGTGGTCTCTGTATTACCTGGGGTTGAATATTGTCCTGCTTTGCTAGTTTAGGAAAATTTTCCTGAATAATATCCTGAAGGGTATTTTCCAGCTTGGATTCATTCTCTCTGTCGCATTCAGGTACACCTATCAAACGTAAATTTGGTCTTTTCACATAGTCCCACATTTCTTGGAGACTTTGCTCATTCCTTTTAATCCTTTTTTCTCTAATCTTGTCTTCTCGTTTTATTTCATTAAGTTGGACTTCTATCTCTGATATCCTTTCTTCTGCTTGAACAATTCAAGTGTTTAAACCTGTGCATACTTCTCGGAGTTCCTGCATTGTATTCTTCAGTTCCATTAATTCACTTATATTCCTAAGTTGTCTATTCTCATTAGGATTTCGTCAAACCTTTTTTCAAAATTCTTAGTTTCTTTACATTGGGCTGCAACATATTCTTTTAACTCACCGAAGTTTCTATTATCCATCTTTGGAAGCCTGATTCTGTTAATGGGATACACTCGTTCTCGATCAAGTCTTGTTCCCTTGTTCATGAGGAACTGTGATCCTCTTTAGAGGGAGAGGCGTTCTATTTTGAGTATTCTCAGCCTTTTTACGCTGGTTTCTTCCCATCATTGTAAATTTATCCATCTGTCGTCTTTGTTATTACCAACTTTCAAATTAGGTCTCTGAGTGGATGTCCAAGTTGTTAATTCCCAGGGCCGAAATATGAGCAACCCACTGCGCCGGCCAAAACAGCGGCATTAAGACTGATGGTGCTTTTCTGCCCGGGAATCTCCAGTCTGGCTTCCTTCTTGAGTCTGTAATAGGCAACTCTGCCTTCCCAGAGCTCCAAACCTTGGTCAGAAGGGGAACCAGTCCCATTTACTCTCCACCAAGAGCTGCCGTGCCGCCACAAGAGTCGCGCTGGCGACCCATGTGGCTCCTCCAAACCTCGGTCAGAAGGGGAACCAGTACCATTTACTCTGCACCAAGAGCTGCCTCACCGAGGTGCCGGCAAAACTGCTGCACCGGCCACAAGAGTCACGCTGGCAACCCGTGGAGCTCCTCCACTGGGAATCTTCTGCTCCGTGAGCGACCAAAATTTGTCTGAAAGTGTGGCGTCCTCTCCTTGTCTGAGCTTTCTTCGCTGGGAGCTGCAATCCTGAGATATTAGCAATCAGCCATCTTGGATTGTTCCTCTTTTTTTTTTTTTTGAGATGGAGTTTCACTCTTGTTACCCAGGTTGGAGTGCAACGGCACGATCTCGGCTCACCACAACCTCCGCCTCCTGGGTTCAGGCAATTCTCCCGCCTCAGTCTCCCGAGTAGCTGGGACTACAGGCATGCGCCACCATGCCCAGCTAATTTTTGTATTTTTAGTAGAGATGGGGCTTCACCTTGTTGACCAGGATGGTCTCGATCTCTTGAACTTGTGATCCACACGCCTCGGCCTCCCAAAGTGCTGGGATTACAGGCATGAGCCACCGTGCCCGGCCCCACTTCTTGTTTTTAAACAACTCTTACATTTAGATTTTATGACTATAGAAGACTGAAATTAAAACAGCTGATTCAGAAAAGTTAATTAAATTAATATGGATCATTAGTATCTCAGAAATATACTAACAATAAATCATAATAAAACCCAAAAAAGGGCCAGGCACAGTGGCTCACACTTATAAATCCCAGCACTTTGAGAAGCCAAGGTAGGAGGACTGCTTGAGTCCAGGAGTTCAAGACCAACCTGGGCAACAGAGTGAGACTGTTTCTTGGTATATTTTTAGAAAGGCTAATACTGGTTGTTTCCTTCTATGTGTAATGCTTCTTTCAGAAGCTCTTGTTAAGCAGGCCTGGTGGTAATAAAATCTCTTTTTTTTTTGTACTTGCCTGTTCATAAAAGATTTTATTTTTCCTTCAGTTGTGAAGCTTAGTTTGGCTTCACAAAAAATTTTTTTTTTTTTTAAATAAGCTGGGCATGTTGGTACATGCCTGTAGTCCTAGCTGTTCAGGAGGCTCAGGCAGGTGGATTCCTTGAGCTCAGGAGTTTGAGGTGCCACTGCACTCCAGCCTGGCTGATAAAGTCAGACCCCATCTCTAAGGAAAAAAAACCAACCAACAAAGGCACTTAAATGTTGAGTATAAAATAGTAAAATTATGAGAAATAATATTAAGAGTGAATGCACATAACCTTTATGAAAATAAGGCTAATATGGACTACTTGGTGAACATGAAAGCCTTCTCAGTAGGTTTATTGTGACATGGTCAGGCTGTAGTTCACTTCACCTACTCACCACCATAATACAGAAATGAGTGATCAGCAAATATGTTTTTCTGTTGATTTTTCAAAATACAAGCTGTCAAATACAGAAGAGACAAAGAAGCCAGCAAGTCTTATAAACATATTGCTTTAGTACAGTAAGTCATTTCTATTCTTGTTTACTTCATGAAGTATTTCATTTATCCACCTCAAAAAATTAATCTTCTCGCTGGGCGTGGTGGTGTACACCTATAATTCCAGCACTTTGGGAAGGTGAGGCAGGTGGATCACCTGAGGCCAGGAGTTTGAGACCAGCCTGGGAAACATGGTGAAACCCTATCTCTACTCAAAATACAAAAATTAGCCAGGTGTTGTGGTGCACACCTGTAATCCCAGCTAATCAGGATACTGAGGCATGAGAATCACTTGAACCTGGGAGGCAGAGGCTGCAGTGAGCTGAGATTGTGTCCTGCACTCCAGCCTGGGTGACAGAGCGAAACTCTACCTAAAAAAAAATTACCTTGATATATCATGTTTTTTGAATGTTCCAGTTTTGAATTTTCCAAGCTGTCCAATACATTTTCTTAATACAATTCTTGGAGCTGATTTTTTCTTTTTGGATTTCTTACTTTGTTGACTTTTCCTCTTTATCCATAAGCTAATCACCAAATACATTGTTGCCATTATTTTGAACAAACTGTTATCTGTTAAATCAACTTAGAATATTTAGAATGGGTAAATATTCTCATATTAGAATAGGAAAATATTTTATCTCCACCTATTCCTTTCCCAATTATTTTCTATTCTTTATCTGGAT